ACTTAGTGAAGTCTGCAAAGTGGAAATAATAAGTGTTATGCCCAGACGACTGGACTGGACTACGTAAACAGTCAATTTACAGAAAAATTGTGAAGGCTTAGCTCGGTTCGTCTGAATGATAGAGAGTTCTCAGTTCGGTAGAACATGGGCCAACACAAGGCTTCTAGCTTGTTTAGAGGTTAGTATACAGGGTTATGTCCACGTTCTTAGTTCGGTTGTAACACAAGAGACAGCTCGGCATCTATGGTAACAAGAGTTTCAGCTCAGTTATTGGGTAAGGTTTCCAGTTCGGTCTAATGCATCTATGGTAAACAAGTGTCAATCTCGGTTGTGGTGTTATTTTGGATCGAAAACATCACATTACAGATTGTTTGTGAATCCAGTGAGTGTGATTGTTGTCCAAAAGGTTCTTACCCATTCGTGAGAAAACCATATGAGTATGTTGTGCAAAAACATATGAATACTATGCTACATGTTGCTAGACTATACAAACAAAAAGAAAAAGGGATTGAGCTACTTACAGTTTGAAGATAGAAGGACACAGATCAAAACCGCAAGGATGGCGAGGAGAACGCAAGCTTTGTAGGTGCTATGGATGCGAAAATGGAGACTCAAAGGGCAAGAGAGAGAAGATGAAACTAAGGTTTTTGTATAGAGCATAGAATGGACGGGACTGTTCAAAAATTGTGGAGTATGAAGACAGCTATGACAGCTATACTGGGCCAATGAGAGCCTGCCACGTGTCCAAGAGAATAGAAAACGATTCAGGCGAGCTGAGCACTCGAAATGACGTTTATGGACCGGATTCACCGATAGCCCAGTAGAAGGTGAGCTCGGTTTGTTTGAATGTTTCTAGCTCGGCTGGAGAAGAATAATCCTAAATCATGTGTTGCAGATGGAATTAAGGGGCAATTGAGAGGGTAAAATGTGTGAAGCTTGGGCCGAGGTGGAACCAGATTTATGGAGAGTCAAATAATGGGCCGAGGTGAATGGGCTTCGCCATTGGGCCTTGTTAGCCTGGTCATGAATGACTGAGGTTAGCTCGGCTTGAGTATTCTGAACCGAGGTACAGGGAGCCGTGTTGTAGCAGGGTGGAACCGTGCTAAGTAAAGCGAGGTAGGACCGAGCTAAGGAAAGCTCGGTGAAATCTGCTGCTTCAGGATGTGTTAGCCCAGTCGTTTTGTCATACTATCGAGGTAAGACCATTTTACTTGGTTAATGCAGTGAGAAGGGTGTTAAGGGATAAGTATTATCTCTTAGAGGTGTAATTCCTAGGAGGACTCTACATTGAGGAGTAAGAGTCCTACTAGGATTATGTTAGATGAAATCTATAAAACCTCATAGCAGGACCTATGTACAGGTTTCACAATTTTGATTCTCGAATACACAGAACTTTTGTCTATTTGTCTATTTTGCTGATTTAGGCATCGGAGAGGTATCCGACACACATCCCCGGCTAGCTCACGTTTGTGTTTTCAGGAAGTAAAGCGACGACGTTCGGAAGAAATGCAAACTTAAATTTAATCAATAAGATTATACGAAAATATTATTTCGTACTCGTGCATTCCTTAATCGAAATATAATTATTTTAAAATTGTTAGACTTGCATATGTTCACCCATTATAACGAACCAACCCACTCAAAATACGATTAAATCGAATTGAGTGGATTAAATAGGTTAATTTGATGGTTGCGCAACCCTACATTGAAAAGGGTGCATAGTTGGGTCGGGTGGGACGAATGGGTTGGGAGGAAGCGGATGTTTGCGTTTGGAGTGGGTGTGGTGGTGGGACATATTTATTATGGCAGTATTTGATTTTGACTGAGTTATTAAAATGAAAACATGAAAAAAAAAAAAAGAAGTGAAAAACCTTAGTTGAGTTTCAAAATTGTGATTAAAGTATACGCTTCATCATTTAACTTTTATGAAAGATCTTATTTTGATTTGATGTTTGTGTAAATATTTTCAATAATAAGGCCTGGTTTAGGAACAAGCTAATTTAGTAATTTTTTGATTATTTAGTTAAAAAAGTAGGTAAAAAAAATTTATATGTTTGGGATGATTTTTTGGCTAATTACAAAAAGATGTTCAAAAAGTAGAGAAAAGAGAATCTTTGACTTTTTGGTATGGATTGTTGACGTTTTGACTAATTTAATAATTTTTTGATTAATTGACTAAAATAACCTCTTGCCAAACGAGACTTAAATAATGAAAAAAATTACCTTCGAAAACGTAATTTATCCATTCATCAGTAATACTAAGCAAAGCATACACATACATACACTGTATATTACAGTTTTGTTTTAGGGGTTGTTTGGGATGACCTAAATAAGTATATTTTTTGTCTTTTTATGAAAAGATGTGCAGAAAAGTAAAGAACTGATGTGATGAAAAAAAGATAAGAAGATAAAAAGTGTATACTTAGGCCTCGTTTGGGAACAGGATAATTTAGTAACTTTTTGGCTATTTGGCTAAAAAGGTAGGTAAAAAAAACTTTATGTTTGGGATGACTTTTTAGCTAATTACAAAAAGATGTGCAAAAAGTAGAGAGAAAAGAGAATCTTTGACTTTTTGGTATGAATTATTGACTTTTTGACTAATTTAATAACTTTTTGACTAATTAATTAAAAAAGTAAATTTCCAAACGGGGCCTTCTTTAGGATAGCCAAACTTGGCTTTATTGTTAACTCTATCGAGTTTAAACTTAACCATCACTTAGCAGAGAGGAGAGACCTCATGAAAGCGACCCTCTTCCACCCTTTTTGTCCCCTCTTTCTCTTTCTCTTTCTCTTTCTCTCGGCCAATATTGGTTTTGATTTTGGGAAATTTGCAGTGATTGTGCGAGAAAGACACGAAATGTGTTATTGGAATCAACCAAGCAAACAAAGCAGCCATTACTCCCACTTCACGGACAACACCGCATTTTGATCTTCTTCTTCTTCTCTCTCTCTCTCTCTCTCTCTATTTTCCTTTTTGTAAATAAAAAAAATAAAAATAAATACAGGCACGTATAGTGTATATACCAAAGTCCCCCAACACTTGGAAGGAAGAAGAAGAAGAAGAAGAAGAAGAAGAAGAGTCACCAAAATAGTCCCAAGGAAAGGAAGGAAATGTCGGTAACAAGTCAGGTAACATCAATTGCCCCCTCCCTCCACCCGCATTCTCTCTGATCTGATTATTTTAAATCACTCCTCTTTTTGCATTTCGCTTTTGTTTCAAAAAAATTTCCACAACCCATAACCCATTATCATGCATTCATAATATTATTATTAGTATTAATATTAGCATTAGCATTAGCATTAGTAATAGAAATGTTTCTTTCTGGGGCCCAGTGAAATGAACAAACAAGGGGAGGCAAAATGTTAAGGGTTTTCGAGATCTGGCGTTGGAGGGTCTCAAATTCTTCAAGGGTTCAACTAATCTAGAATAAATGTATAAATTTAACCGAGATTTGAAGCTGAAGAAGTAGCAGAATCAGATAGTGCTACTAGGGTTCAACTAATCTAGATTAAATGTATAAATTATAAAAAAAATTTCTTGAAAAGTCCAACCCATATGATTATTATCAAAATATTAAATTTTAATATAATATAATAAAAAAGAAAAGACATTTAATTCCTTGAAAAGTCCAACACACATGATTATTATTAAAATATTAAACTTTAATATAATATAAAAAAAGGAAAAAAACAAGACATTTAAAATAAAAAAATAAAACATTTAAAAATCACAATTCACATATATAGATAATTGTAAACACAATCCGTTCATAGCACGGGTGATATGCTAGTCTATACTATACATTAAGCAAAAGGAGGTTTTTAAGCCACAAGTTTACTTGGTTAATGCAGTGAGAAGGGTGTTAAGGGATAAGTATTATCTCTTAGAGGTGTAATTCCTAGGAGGACTCTACATTGAGGAGTAAGAGTCCTACTAGGATTATGCTAGATGAAATCTATAAAACCTCATAGCAGGACCTATGTACAAGTTTCACAATTTTGATTCTCGAATACACAGAACTTTTGTCTATTTGTCTATTTTGCTGATTTAGGCATCGGAGAGGTATCCGACACACATCCCCGGCTAGCTCACGTTTGTGTTTTCAGGAAGTAAAGCGACGACGTTCGGAAGAAATGCAAACTTAAATTTAATCAATAAGATTATACGAAAATATTATTTCGTACTCGTGCATTCCTTAATCGAAATATAATTATTTTAAAATTGTTAGACTTGCATATGTTCACCCATTATAACGAACCAACCCACTCAAAATACGATTAAATCGAATTGAGTGGATTAAATAGGTTAATTTGATGGTTGCGCAACCCTACATTGAAAAGGGTGCATAGTTGGGTCGGGTGGGACGAATGGGTTGGCAGGAAGCGGATGTTTGCGTTTGGAGTGGGTGTGGTGGTGGGACATATTTATTATGGCAGTATTTTGATTTTGACTGAGTTATTAAAATGAAAACATGAAAAAAAAAAAAAGAAGTGAAAAACCTTAGTTGAGTTTCAAAATTGTGATTAAAGTATACGCTTCATCATTTAACTTTTATGAAAGATCTTATTTTGATTTGATGTTTGTGTAAATATTTTCAATAATAAGGCCTCGTTTATGAACAAGTTAATTTAGTTATTTTTTGACTATTTGATTAAAAAGGTAGGTAAAAAAAATTTATATGTTTGGGATGACTTTTTAATTAATTACGAAAAGATGTGTAAAAAGTAAAGAGAAAAGAGAATCTTTGACTTTTTGATATGAATTATTGACTTTTTAACTAATTTAATAACTTTTTACTAATTAACTAAAATAACCTCTCACTAAAAGAGGCCTAAATAATGAAAAAAATTACCTTCGAAAACGTAATTTATCCATTCATCAGTAATACTAAGCAAAGCATACACATATTACAGTTTTGTTTTATTGTTAACTCTATCGAGTTTAAACTTAACCATCGCTTGGCAGAGAGGAGAGACCTCATGAAAGCGACCCTCTTCCACCCTTTCTGTCCCCTCTTTTCTCTTTCTCTTTCTCTTTCTCTCGGCCAATATTGGTTTTGATTTTGGGAAATTTGCAGTGATTGTGCGAGAAAGACACGAAATGTGTTATTGGAATCAACCAAGCAAACAAAGCAGCCATTACTCCCACTTCACGGACAACACCGCATTTTGATCTTCTTCTTCTTCTTCTCTCTCTCTCTCTCTCTCTCTCTCTCTATTTTCCTTTTTGTAAATAAAAAAAATAAAAATAAATACAGGCACGTATAGTGTATATACCAAAGTCCCCCAACACTTGGAACGAAGAAGAAGAAGAAGAAGAAGAAGAAGAGTCACCAAAATAGTCCCAAGGAAAGGAAGGAAATGTCGGTAACAAGTCAGGTAACATCAATTGCCCCCTCCCTCCACCCGCATTCTCTCTGATCTGATTATTTTAAATCACTCTTCTCTTTTTGCTTTTCGCTTTAATTTCAAAAAAATTTCCACAACCCATAACCCATTATCATGCATTCATAAATATTATTATTAGTATTAGTATTAGCATTAGTAATAGTAATGTTTCTTTCTGGGGCCCAGTGAAATGAACAAACAAGGGGAGGCAAAATGTTAAGGGTTTTCGAGATCTGGCGTTGGAGGGTCTCAAATTCTTCAAGGGTTCAACTAATCTAGATTAAATGTATAAATTTAACCGAGATTTGAAGCTGAAGAAGTAGCAGAATCAGATAGTGCTACTAGGGTTTTGTCACCATTTCGAATCCTCCCACAACACAAGACTTGTTCTTCATGACGACCACCAAACGTGCTTATAAGCTGCGTATCCTTGTCTATTTTCTTGAATTTCTTATTTTGCTTCTTTTGAATTCGGCTTTATCTCTCTCTCTCTCTATGTATTTGTTTTGATTCTGAAAAAATAACAACGATAATGCAATCCATTTTTGAATTCAGAGTATGTGTGTTACTCCTCCCCCAACCCAACCCAACCCAACCCAACCAACTTTGATTCTACATACAATTTCAATTGAGTTTTGAGCAGATCTCTTTTTATTGTGTGAATCATATATGAAATTATATTACTTATGGAGCTTTCATTTTCTTCTTCAATTTAACTATTATCATGCTTTCTTTTTAATTTGTCTAATAAAGATTCTATAGGGACACATAGAATTTTGGTTAAACAAAACTTTGCCTTGACCCATATGTGTCCACCCCATAGAGGAATTTGTGGCTCATGCTTCCAGTGTAAATTGCCTCAAAATTGGGAGGAAGTCATCAAGGGTTCTCGTCACTGGAGGAGAAGATCACAAGGTGAATCTATGGGCCATTGGCAAACCCAATGCCATACTGGTGAGTTTCTCTGTTATTTTCTCATCTGTCATCCATTAAATAACTTGCTTATTTCGTACTTTGCTTTCTTTTAGTTTTTTTTGGCTCTTTTCAGAATCACACCTTGTGTGCACAATATGCGTACATACATCTTTATCTGTTACTTATCAAACAAAGTGCACTTTCCTTTGTTGGTTGATCATAACTGGCTTGTATGACTGATTTCATCTGATGGTTTGGATATATGATCAATGTTTGAATGTGTGGGGCTGAAATCCCTTGATGTATGTATATATAGAGCCATGGTTGGTGGTCTACAGGTCGTCTAGAATAATAAAACCCCCAAGCATTGAACAAATGGTGATGTGATGTGTACACCATCAAGCACCTCACAAGCACACTACACTCTTATTTTTAATATTGATTTCTACTGAATATGTATTTTTCAATACAATGCATGTATTATTCATATGGCTGCTTGATAAAATATTGGAGATATCTAAGTCGGATCTTTTGTGGCACATTTTTTGTGTCTTGGCTACAGAAAACAGTTAAGTGTCAAATGCTCCAGTTAGCTAGTAGACTCGGATAAATTCTACTTGGATAAATATAGATCCAATTGATTGTATGGAGTGGTGGAACAATATCTAGTTTAATCAAATCCATTGATTTGTGATTTATTCCCGTGATGAGACGGTATAGTTTAATATACTCTTGGGATATGATTGGAGACTCTCTAGACAAGTCTCGTACATTTTTTCGAAAACCACAAAGAGATTTATGCACCCAAAATTTTGTGAAATCCCTTGAGATGAAAACCCAACTATGTTGTGCTCTCTTATTGAAGAGAAAGCTTAGTCTTTAGGGCTAGCTCCCTCATTCATCCAACATATATTTGTATTTCTTCTCATCAATCCTTTTGTTGGTACCACAACTTGTGTTCTTATACTACCAAACAAACCAAACCAACCTAAACTAAGCCTTGTGTCCCAATGAAGTGGGGTCGGCTACATGAATTCTTTTTTGCCGTTATGCTTTATCAAGGGCTATATGATCAAACTGCTGTTTAGACCATGTTTATAATTTGAATTACAAAGAAAAATAGTTAAGTATTTTTCAAAGTATGACCGGTTGTTCCCATTTGAGGAAAAAAAAAAGTTCGATCAGTTATGAATTTCTTAAAAAGTTACGAGGTTCACGTTGATCAACAAAATTTCCTTTTGCCTTCTGTGTCTGTCTCTTCCCTCTGAATGACCAATTGTCTTTTTCATTTCGCATGTTACTGGTGGTTACTTATGCAGAGTTTGTCCGGTCATTCTAGTGGAATTGACTCTGTTAGCTTCGATTCTGCTGAAGTGTTGGTAGCTGCAGGAGCTGCAAGTGGTACAATCAAGCTTTGGGATTTAGAGGAGGCAAAGAGTATGCTTTATGTGTTACATTCCATCATATATGTAGATTTTATTTTGTTGTATGTTGTCAAGTTGATTTGCAAAACTCTTAATTGGAAATTTGTTTTCTCCTGTAGTTGTTCGCACCCTAACCGGTCACCGGTCCAATTGCATATCCTTGGATTTCCATCCCTTTGGGGAGTTCTTTGCCTCTGGTTCTCTGGACACAAACCTGAAGATATGGGATATCAGACGAAAAGGGTGTATTCACACTTACAAGGGCCACACTAGAGGGGTCAACGCTATTAGATTTACACCAGATGGCCGTTGGGTCGTATCTGGTGGAGAGGACCATAGTGTGAAGGTAAGAGTTGCTTTTCTTGTTCATTACATTTACGGTGGAATTTACAACAATGGAACATGTGTTTGTATAGTAACACCTAGATGTATTGTGAAAACATTGGCATTGACTTCTCCTTTTCCCATATAGTTTAACTTATTTTTTGTAAATATTTGGGAATGGTACTCATGTAGTTCTTCTTATTATTTTTTAATTTTTTAAACCTTGTCTGAAGAAATCCTAGAGCACACAACTTTCCAGATTGGTATAGATACTAATGGAGCTAGAAGGCATGCTCTGCATTTGGATACCTAGTCACAGCATATTTTTATTTTTTATTTAAATTTTTGTTGGGGTGTAGGCCGTGTATATTGTGTTATACCATGCATTGTTGGTGCCTTTGTCGGTCAGACTCCCTCAGTTGCACATTACACAGAGAAATACTTTTGGTTAATGTGGGAATTGTTACCATAGAGTTGTTTCAGTTAAAACACTATTTAAACACCAGTTAATTATGATTAGGTATAGGGGTTTTGCACGATTTCAATTGTCTTGAGAGCCATATCTAGTAAATAGGTTTAACCATGTCAGTTTCTGTGCAAGAGGGCACATACAGACCTACACTCTTTTTTTTTGGCTAATCTGGAGATTTCTTTGCTTGCAATAAAATCGTTTATGTGACAGCTGTGGGATCTGACTGCTGGGAAGTTGTTGCATGATTTCAAGTATCATGAAGGCCAGATTCAATGCATAGATTTTCATCCCCATGAGTTTCTGCTGGCAACAGGTTGGTAAAATGTTTGCTATAGTGGTTTTTGATAAGTAATGTTTGATATAAAGATGGTAATCCTTAATCAAATTTGATTTTTTTTTTTTCATGTCGATCCAATGTTAACAAGATCAAATGTTCCTTGATTGGTTTATGTGATTTGGACTTCATAGTAGACTTGTCTTTTTATATATTTGTTTTTAAATAATTAAACTACTTCCTTAGAAGGCATCCTGTGGGTGTGTGTGACTGGTAAATCTTTGCTATCAATAGAATCCTGAAACTCTTTGGAGGCCCGACCAGTGTTACCCGAAAATGCTACCCCCATGGTGATTTACATTTTGGAACGTACTTTCTGAAGTGTTTCATTCCAAAAGGATGAATCTCATGATCCAAAACGATCCCATATTGGCTTCGTTTGGGAAGTGGCTACTTTTTAGGCTATTTGGTTATTTTAGAGGCTATTTTAGTTTGTGTTTGGGAAGATGAGTTGAATTTTTTGTTGGATTGGTGCATTGGAAAATGTGTTTGAAAAGACGTTGGGATAGTAAATGACCAAAATGCCCCTTTACAAATGTACAGCTCCTTTCCAACCAATAAAACATCCTGCTGACGTGGCACTGCTGCTGCTGTGGGTTTCTCAAACATTAAAAGGGCAAAAGCATCATTTTGCACTATCTGGATGACAGCTGTGCATCACGTGGTTGGGGTTGAGCAACAGTAAGGCTTTTTTGGATTTTTTTCTTAAGAGGTTAAAATAGCCTCTAAACTTGGTTCCCAAACAATGCCATTATTTCTAAGTTTTTCATCATAGGTTCTCTTTAATAGAGAAAAAAATCAAATATAATAAACTAAAATCTAATAGAGTGGAGTTTTGGATTGACAAAATGTAAAACAATATATCATAATGCTCATAGAATTGTGTTGTTAAACAATTAATTTGAAGAAAAATCCACTATAATATATTGGATGTCAAATTAAGAAGTCTACTCCTATCGTACCACATTTTAAAGCATGTGGCATATCACATTCCCATTCCCGTTCCTCATATCAAAATGATCGGCATTTTAGGTAGCACAACTATGCAATATATTTAAAATTTACACCTCAACCTATATATTGGTTCCTGCATATTCTAAAAGGTAAAGAGGACCTATTCTTTGAACCTTGCCTTTCCTTCTGCCAACCTACCCTTCTCTCCACCTGACTATCAAATCAAGTACCAAATTTGGGAACATCCAAGCATGCAAAGCTTCCTTGAAGCAATTCAACAATCAGAAACTCAATTCCTTGGTCAATTCAGAATCGATGGGTAGATGATCGACTGATTTTTCTGCCTCCTTGCACATGTAACACTGATTTAAAACATACTTATGCCTCTTGATCAAATTATCATTTTTTCCCCATGTGCCACATAAAAAATTTTCCCTGAGAAGGGCCATTAGATTTTATTGTACTTTTTGAAGGAGTATTCTGATATGCGTCTATGCTTTGTAAAATGACGTACAACCCTCCCCAAACCTCAGAAAAGTAAGCTTACTTACACCTAAAGTAAGCTAAATACATGACCACAACAAAAGTAAAAGAACAGAAAAGGTAACAAGAATTCTTGTGAGAACATTTTGAGATGAGAGCAAGAAGCATAGGTGAGTAGAATTTTTCAAAAAGAATCATAAGAGAGTAAGAGCTAATTACATTAGGAAAAACTTACGTACAAGAAAGTTTCTGTAGTAGCTTTTATCAAGCGTTGTCCACTGTCTGCAGATCCTTTCTCATTCATTTCAGTAGTTAGATACTTTCACATGGCAAAGTAGAATTTGACATTTTAGATTTATGAAACATGTTTATTTAGAATATACAAATTGGAAATTTTAAGATATATAAAGCAGGAAATCCTGAAGGACAAACATCAGTAGGAAATTTTCTATTGTTTTGTTCTGTTAAAATTTGATAACTCTTACTTATCTATTGTTCAGAAGGCTAGGAAAGTATCCAGTTGATTAAGCTGCATTTTTGGTCTTAGTTGATCGAGGTTCAGGCTATATTGGATAATATTTGTAAAGTCTTGTCATTCTTCTGTTTTTATGGAAGCTTTGTTTTTGTGTTTTGAATTGTGTTATCAGAAAACAATAATACCCAAGCGAATTATGTATTGGTACTCACGTTCCGAATGGTACACTTTCGTTCCAAAACAGTAAATTTAGACCTCGTTTGGCAAGTGGTGATTTTAACCAAAAAGTCAAAAAGTCACTAAAAAAACCAAAAAGCCAACAACCTATACCTAAAAGTCAAAGATTCCATTTTCCATCTACTTTTTGCACATCTTTTCATAAAAAATCAAAAAGTCATCCCAAATATGTTAGTTTTTTTTTATACCATAGTTTAGTCAAAAAGCCAAAAAGTTACTAAAAAAGCTTGTTCCCAAACGAGTTAGTGATCTGAAATGATCTCAAAAGTTTTTTTTTTCCAATATATTTTCTTAAATGTTACTTAGGTGGAAAAAAAATCAAATATAATAAACTAAAATCTAAGATGAGTTAAGTTTTGACAAAGACAAAAACATCAAAAATGAAAAAAAGAAAAAGAAAAAGGAAAGTACATTTTATTTGACACCTAATAGTTAAAAGAAAATTACTAAGTACCTTAAATTCTTAAGTATAATATATACAAGTCTACCCCTATTGTACCATATTTTAGAGCGTGTGGTGTACCACATTTCCATTTCCATTCCCGTTCCCGTTCCACGTGCCAGAACGATCCACGTTCTAGGTAACATAGGTTTTAAATTATGTCTTGGGGGTACTGCTAGCAGTTAAATCCCTTGTTGCATTATCTGTCTTTGTCTGTTACTTTTCTATATCATTTCAATCATTAGTGTTCATGCTACTGTTATTATCGTGATTCCACCTTGATCTTTTTTCACAGGTTCGGCCGATAGAACTGTTAAATTCTGGGATCTAGAGACTTTTGAGCTTATAGGGTCAGCTGGTCCTGAGGTGAATGACTGTCGAATGGTGTAATTACTGCTGGCTTTGCATATATTGAGGGAAATTATCATAGTATTTCTTCTTCAACTTTGCTTTTGCACATAATGTTTATTTCAAGTTCTTTGTTTCGTACTCCAGACCACCGGTGTACGCTGTATGGCCTTTAATCCTGATGGGAGAACCCTACTTTGTGGTTTGCACGAAAGTCTAAAGGTAGCCTCTTCTTGTTTTTAACTGTGCATGGAGAGACGCTAGACTACGATTAATAAATCTTCTTATCTGTATATCAATTTTTAGTCTAATTCCTTAAGCAATTTGATAGGTTGTCTCTTGGGAACCAATAAGATGTCATGATGCTGTGGATGTGGGATGGTCTAGATTGTCAGATCTTAATATTCACGAGGGAAAGCTTCTTGGCTGCTCCTATAATCAAAGTTGTGTTGGAGTATGGGTTGTAGACTTATCGGTATGACTTAATTTGTATACTTAGCAAATTCCTCTCAGTTCTATTCTGAAATTTGAACTGATGTATGCTTTATGGCATTTTACCCTTTGCAGCGTATTGAACCATATGCAATTGGGAATTTAACTCGATTGAAAGGTCATCCTGAACCAAAATCTGATTCAAGTGGGAATGTGCCAATATTGACTGAAAACAATGCAAAGGTATGTTCAGGCAGGCTAGCCATATCACAAAATTCAGATCCTGTATCCAAGGAAACAAAATCTTTGGGAAGGCTTTCAGTCTCGCAAAACTCAGATCCTATCACCAAGGAGAAGGAGTCGAAATCTTTTGCATGTATGTTTGTTTTCACTCCATTGTTGTTTTCCTTTGTGTTTTTCTGTATTCAATGGCTCAACCCAAATTGACAATTCTTGTCCAAGGGATATGGAACTATTTGGATCAGCTAAACAAATCATGTTGCCAATTAGCCATAGGGCCATTGCTAAAGCTATTACAAGCCAACTTTCCTTACTTTATTTGTGGTTTGTTGATTTTATGTTGTGTTTTCTTTTCATTTTCTCCTTATTTCATAATAATTTTATTTAATTTATTTTTGTCAACTTTTCTCCATGTTTAGATTATGACATATTGATTTAGGACGATTAGGGACAACCACAACAGTGGGCATTTGGGGCTGTTTTAACACTGTTTTAGGGGTTGTTATGAGGCTGTGAATAGTGGATTCGTGAACAGTGTTTTGGGATGTTAAAAATGTAGAAAATAAAAGAGGAAAAGGAGGAGGAGAAGAAAGATCTAGGAATCACTCCTAGAATCTCCTAATCACACCTAGGGTTTGATTGCATCACACAATCCATAAAGAAGCTTTAAAAGTTATAAAATTCTCTAAAATATCAACTCTTTTAAATTATAAGTATTATATGACTTTATATAGAATTAGGAGACTTCCTAAACTAATTAGAACTAAAAAAGAAAACAATTATAATATTTTTGACTTTCAAAACTAATCTAAGACTAAATAAGAACAAAAACAAAGAATAATTAAATAATTTGACCCATAAGACGACCCATTTCAGCAAACATAAAAAATACCAAAATAGCCCTCGTCTAAAAATCTGAAAAAACATAAAATAATTATAAAATAAGGCTCTAATAATACTATAAATATGATTATGTGTAGTTCTTATCGGTTTCTCTTTGAAACCATGCCAATTTCCCAATATTGCCGCTACTTTGAATTTACTCTTCCTTGAGCTTCTTATACCCTGTATCATTCTCTCTTGGTTGGAAAAAAACTCGACCTTGAGTTTTAAGATCTTCAAGTACAAGAATCAATAAGTTTTGAAATTGCATCCATGGCTTCACATTAAAATCTTACAAGTTGGCAATATCGTTTGTTCTTCATTGGAGATAGCAATGGAAGCAACAAGATATTTGACGCTCTAAAGTTGAATTTTTTTGGAATGACAAAATCAGTTGAAGTAGAAAACAGACCCTTAAATTGATCCAAATGTAGAGTTGCAGAATTCTGCCCATCCATTCTATTCTCTTTTGGCTTTGCGATGTACTGCTTGCAATCAATTTGAATGCTCTTGCTTGTATCAACAATCATGGATTCCATATTCTCAGCCTTTTCTTCCATAAAAATGTTATCATGCAATTCAATTTTGACATCCTTTTGAATGAAATCAACACCTATCATTGTTTTTGACATGTTATACTCACTCGAATTTGCATTATGTGCTGGTGGGTTAGGCAATTGTGACTCTAATATAGGATCAATATCATGCTTTAAAGGCATATTTTGCTCAGCATTAGCTGCTGGTTGCTTTGATTCTTCAGTTCCTACAACTTCCATAGCACCCAGTTTCTCGTTTTGGACTCTAGCCTTTACTTGAGTAATAACTTGATCTTCTTGGGGTACTTTTGAATCATCAGTAAGAGCCTCGTTATCCTTCAAAATCCGTTCATCTTTCACCTTGTGCAGGTTTTGATTGTTCTCTTTCACTTGTAGCTGCAATTGCACAAACTTTTGATCTTTGACTCTAGCTCTCAGCTTTGGCACGACTTATTGTGTGTACTCCATGCTATATCTTGACTAATGTGGCACTTCTTGCCTAATAATAGGGCTTAATGCAGGTTTAAATCTAGCAAGTCTTTGACATGATTCTTCCAGAACTCGATTTCGAGTGTCAAGTGCCTCAAGTCTTTGCATATATTCTTCAAAGAAAGTGTTGCCATATCTTGAATTAACAAGTTGCTCACATGACTCAACAAGATTGTTTGAAGTATATACTTCTTTTGATGCTTATGTGTCTATTGGTGGCGATTCCAGTCTTCTTATATCTTCTTCAACACGATATCACCAAAGTTGTGCCAAACCTACAAGTTTCATTTTGGCAAATCTCGCTCTATGATCATCCGTCTAATCATAGCAATCAAAATATTTCTCAATTGAAACAAGCCAATTAGAGAAGAAAACCATAGGATTATCTCTTCCTTCAAAATCTGGAACTTCTTTGTTATGGGGTATAACATATTGTGGCACATAGGTTCTCACTTTGTAAGAACATAGTTGCGAAATCTTAAGCTCTTATACCAAATTGATGTAGGACGATTATGGACAGCCACAACAGTGGTCTTTTGGGGCTGATTTAATACTGTTTTAGGGGTTGTTATGAGGCTGTGAACAGTTGATTCGTGAACAGTGTTTTTGGCTATCAAAAGTGCAGAAAATAAAAGAGGGAAAGAAGGAGAAGAAGAAGAAGAAGAAAAATCTAGGAATCACTCATAGAATTCCTTAGGCATCACACTTGGGGTTTGATTGCACTGCACAATTTATAAAGAAGCTTTAAAAGCTCTAAAATATCAACTCTTAAATTATAAGCATTACATGGCTTTATATAGAATTAGGAGATTTTCTAAACCAACTAGAACCAAAAAAGGAAACTACTATAATATCTTTGGTTTTCAAAACTAATCTAAGACTAATAAAATAAAAACAAAAACTAATTAAATAACTTGATTTGCAAGACGACCCATGTCAACAATAGAGATGGCAATTTGAACTCGGCCCGATGGGGACCAGATCCCCCGACCTCGATTTGAACGGGTTTTTCCCGAAAATTATCCCCGTAGGGCCGGGGATAGTATTAAAAATTAAATCCCCAACAGTTTTTGGGCCGGGGACGGGGATAGGTTCCCTTGTCCCGGCCCCGTCCCGGCCCCGAATTATCATCGAATAATTCCCCGAATATTCCCCACATATATAATATATGTTTGTCTGCCTTTCACTCTCATTCATTAATCTCTCAGCCTCTCTCTCTCCCTCTCTCTCTCTCTCTGCGCAGCTGCCACTCATGGCGTCGGCGGCGACCTCCCTCCTCCCATCACCGCCGATCTCCCTCGTCCTTCGCTGTCCTGTCTTCGACAAGAGAGAGTGTTAGGGTTTCCGATCTCTCTCTCTCTCTCTCTCTCTCTATCACTACCGATCGCGTCCCTCCATCATTAGTGTGTTGTTGTTGATGACGATGATGATAAAGTTGATATGTTCAGATCTGATATATGCTCAAATCTGTGTTGAAGTTCTGGTATATGCTCAAATTTGTATGGGTGTGTTAAATATATCTCGTATTTGAATATATCTGGTTGGGTGTGTCGAATAGATCTGTATGGGTGTGTTGAATGTACCTGGGTGTGTTGAATATATCCGTATGGTATAGGTTCAGATCTGGGATTTGATGATAATGTTAAATCTAGTATATGCTCAGATCTTCTATTTTATTTTATTTATTTTATTTTGGCCGGGGAATTTTCGGGGTTGGGAAAACCCAATCCCCGTTAGGGGACGGGGACGGGGGCGGGGACGGTGATAGGCTCCTCGTCGGGGATTGGGACCGGGGACGGGGACATTTCTACCGTCGGGGATTGGGGACGGGGAGTGTGATCCCCGGCCCCACCTCGGCCTGTTACCATTCCTAGTCAGCAAACATAAAAATACCAAAATATCCCTTGCCTAAAAATCCTAAAAACATAAAATAATTATAAAATAAGATTCTAATAATACTATAAACATGGTTATGTATAGTTCTTATCGGTTTCTCTTTGAAACCATGCCAATTTCCCAATATTGCCGCTTCTTTAAATTTATTCTTCCTTGAGCTTCTTATACTCTGCATCACATGTTTAATCTTGGCCTATTTTCTTGATGAAGCCACAGGAAGTGTACCTGGTACTCCTCAAAGGGTAATTTCAAATACTGGTCCAAAGACAACGCCAATTAGTTCAATCTCAGTTCCTGGTGCAGCAACTCTGAAAAGGGGCACTGGAAAAGTCCATCTGACAGCCAATCCTTCGTTTTTCAATGGGTCTGATGTGATACCTGTAGTTGTCCCTCGGAATAATGGGAGGTTTGAGCAAGCAGCTGAATCCAGAAAAGAAGGTGTCGCTGGCAGAATGATGCCATTGTCCATGCAGTCAAAAACATCTGATTTTCTTAAGTTGTCAAACATTAGGGATGACTTGGATAGGCCAATTGCTAGTGATCATTCTGAAACGGATGGTTTCAAAACCACTGAGTTGAGTGGAGTGGCAAATAGGAATGTTTTTCCTGCAGTAAAAAGCTCAGATGCAGGAATTCCTGAAGGGGAGATGAATGCAAAGGTCGACAGGCGTATTGTTTCTGGGAGAGTTGGAATGAATCTAATGCCAGAGCCACTTGCCAGTTTCCAGAATGATAGCTGTATGTATGCATTTCTCAGTAGTCTAGATTTTACCATGTTAATTAAAATTCATTTTGGCTGCTTTTCTGCTGATATTGTGTGCTTGTGTTTCCCAACTGTCTTCTATTGTTTTTTCTATTCAGAAAGTTTTCTCAATTTTGGGCTAGTGGATTAGCTATGGTTATGCTTTTCTATTGAACATAGAAAAATGTCTAATATATGCTCTTTACTAGAAATTTCTTTTGGTTATTAAAAGATATTTCTACATATCAGTTTATGGATATTCTATTATTTTCACCTGTTATGTTATGTTTCTATTCTTGTCATGACTTCCATGTGGTTATTATCTGTTTCTTAATGAAAGGGACAAAAGTAATGCCTACAGTTATGCCACTTCTTATCTGGGGTCTCAAGTTCAGTAGCACCCATTTGTTCTATGGTCTGACCACCAGTTATAATTAAGCGTCCCCATGCAGACATGGATATTGTATGGTTAAGAGTGGTTTTTGTTGTTGAGGAGAAGGTTTAGCACTAATCCCATTGACTATAGCTTGAATATGAAGTTAATTGAGACCAACTATGTTACATGGACTCAGGTGGTGTGTCTGGTGAGGTTATGCATCTACATTCAGATTCATTCGATCTCATGTCCAAAGACAATAGGACACAACTAGATTTTATATTTCTTGAAAACTTATTCTATTTTTTGACTAAAATGATGTTTACAAACTAATATTAGAGTATTTTATGTGTAAAATGAGACCTTTGTTTTTGTTATCAACAACAAAAGAAATTGTATTAGAGAACATGTTGAGGACCACAACCCTTATATGAATCATCAAAAACCAACAAATAATCTTCAAAATTGTATCTATTTCACATAAGATGCTCTCTCAATATTTGTCATCGACTTCCATTTTTTCCATCTAGCCTTTCCAATAGTATCAACAAATTTGATATCCAAATGATTATTCTGCATAAAATATGAGTCTTATGCATAGTAATATAGTAAACTCAACTACTTAGGCTTACTAGTGGGTGCATGTCCAACTAAGCATGTCAGACATATATCCCATACTGTTACATACTCAAGTGTTGAGTGTGCAACATGGGTACTACACAAATTTAAAAGAGACAATGTAACATAAGAGACCAGCTGCATGATGGGGGTCTTCTTTGTAGAGGTGAAGAATTACAAGACTAATAAGCTTCTGGTTGACGATTCCTAAGAAGAAGGTGATTAGAGTGGATTTATCTGAAGACCTGTATTAACATGACCTCTCTTTGGTTGGTTTAATGCTTTTTTGATGCATAATTGCTCATTTACTAGTTCAATCAATTCCCCAACTTCCGGTGAAAGAAGAATAGTTTTGATGTTGTAATGTCAGTATTTGGACAAGTTGCATCCTTGCATGTAAAATTTTTAGCTTGTCCTACAAACAGATGATCAAGCTTGGATTTTTGTGTCATTAAATATTTGTTATGTTTCTTCTGTAAATAGAATGCCTTTGTTCCTTGTTTCACCTTCTTATTTGATCTTTTCTATATTTTATACTTCCTAGACTGCAATTAGTGCAACCTAGTTCACATGACACTCTCAATCAAATTTGTTGATTGATAAGTAGTTTTTAGTGATGTCAGGATATAATTGTGGCTTCATTTGTTATCATATAGGGTAGGATGCGTTTTATGTACCTTTTTCATGGCTTTAGGGTTATGAAGCTTATAAATGCGCGTTTGGTATAAAAGGAAAATTATTTTCTAAAGAATGTATAAAAATTTGAAAATACTATAAGAGCATTGCTTTCTCTCTCTCTCTCTCTCTCTCTCCTTTTCTTTTCTATTTTCTTCTCTGCTTTGTTTTCTTATCTTTTCTTCTATTTTCTTTCAATATTCTGTTTTTGCTGTTATCTTCTTTCATACAAGACCCTTGCTACATAAACATGCAACTCTCGATATTGAAAAACAATATGATTCTTGTTGCTCCATCCCCACAGGGGCAGTGAACCCGTCGCTGTCTCATCCGTGCTACTAAGGTTTTGGGAAAGTTGGAATAAGAGAGCCCTTACCTTAGGGTGGGCTTATTAAGATGCTTTCAGCAATTATTTGCTCTGCACGTGGCTATCCAACGTTTATCTTAGGCATGCAAACTTGTACTTCTATAGGAGAGAATTGACTTAAGATATTGTGATGAAGGTCTTCTATTTGGAGAATCATGATTGTCATTCTAGAATAGTGTTGTACAAGCTCTAATGGGGGGCGCTTTCCATTTAGGGGGGTTTAAACCCTTTTAAGTTAACCTTTGGCAAAACAATTGCTTAGAAGAAAGGTCTATACTTGAATGACATAAAGGAAAGGGAATGGAGCCTGGGCAATGTAGAAAAGAATCAAATAGCATGGTGACCATAGTTTCTTGGACCAAAAGGGTTAAATAAACCCGTAAAATGATTTATGAAATCCACATATTTCGAAATGCTTTTGTGGAAATTATGATGCTGGCCCTAAAAGAAAGGAAATCTAGGCTGAATTTGCATGCTAATTGTGTTGATGGTCTCAGTCTCAGGACTAAACTCCAAGATTTTCTGCTATTACATCCAAAATATATACAATTCCTCAAATGTGATAGATAGTCTGTCTTGTTGTACGAAGTTTACATAATACTCATCTATTTAATTTTAGGTGGTTGTAGCTTTGGATGTATTGATTTACTACTGACATTAGCTAATTGTTTTCACCTAAGATGAAACTCGTGTGCATAAGGGAAACAGAGATGTGTGTTCCACGGAAGGACAAAAAGGAGGTATGTCCAATCTGCATCACAGGTGATACTTATAAGAATCTAACGAAGCTTTACTCATTCAATCAACCGTTATTCTAGGAAGGACGCGCTCGCTTGTTGCAAACTGGGAGAAGAGTGAGAGATACTCTTATTATGAGGCTCCTGCTTCAAGCAATTTATCTGGGACAGTACCCGTTGTTAGCATGCTCCAACCTAATGCGGTATGATTACTTTATGATTCTGTAATTTCTTCCCTTCTCATCTTTCTTATTTTTTTTTCTCCTGGTAGATGGCTTCAATGAAAATTACATAAGCTTGTAGAAGTGCAAACTGTATATTTTGTTTTAGTTCTTTTTGTCTTTTTGGGAATCGAATTACAAAAGGCTTCAAGAATGTGCAACCCATGCACACATAGTGTATACAATATTGCACTCAGGTTCACAAAGTAAACTTGAACATTTGCTAACAAATTGGCAAAGCAACGCCAACAGCTTGTCTGCAACACTTTTCAGGAATCAACAAAAAGAAACTAACGTAAATAATTTCTCCCTTGATAAACTGTGAACCAAAGAAATGGGGGACACTTGTGCTTATGACTGGATGATGCTAAATCTGTGTTTGGACAATTGCACAAGGGTATTAAGGTTAGAATTTGGTTAAACAGTTCAAAGGGTTGGTTGGATTGTATTTTGGGAACACGGATTAAAGGTTTTTTGGGATGTTACGGTGCTGTAAAAGGTACTAGTGCTCTTTTATTGATTGGATTAAAAGTTTGTGGGAAGCCAGGCTTGGACTTGTCAAACTTTTTTAGTACTGAGCCTGCAATTATTCAGATCTGGTTAGAGGCTATTATGTTGAGTTTGACTCCCAAAAAATACAAGGCTGTGTTTGGTTATGTGTTCCAAATACATTTCCACCTACTGATTTGAGTGTGGTGTTTATTTTGAGCTTTCAAATTATAATTCCACATCCACTTTTGAAAACTCCTTTCCAGGCCGGAAAATTTGGCTAACCCGGACGTCGGGCCGGTTGACCGGAATAGTGTTTTTTTTTTTTTTTTTTTGGCACTTGTAATTTTTATATTGTAAATAAAAAAATTTTCAGATTTTTTTTTTTATTTTTATTTTTATATGAGTTTTGAATAGAATTTTGAGTTGTGTGATTGGTTATGAGTTGTAAGTTTTTTAATCAAATAACTTTCCTAGTTTCAAAAACTCAAAATCTTCCTCCAAAACTCAATTCAAAACTCATAACCAAACAAATTTTCCACACTCAAATCACAATTTCAAAACTTACAAATTCAAAATACAGCTCTATTCTCAAATCATATTTAGAAAACTCTACCAAACGCTACCCAAGTTTTTATTACTAACTCTCTCAAGTACACAATTGTACACTCAATTACTCTCCACTAAGTTCATGTGACAACCACTCACAGGTCCCACACCCACTTGGCTGGACCTACACTACCATATTCATATCACACTGATCACACAAGACCTAGGCACGCACAATTACACTTGTATTCCTTGCACAAGACTTCTAGGACAGCTCACACTAGATCACTCTTGTATAAAATCTTCCTCCAAAACTCAATTCAAAACTCATAACCAAACAATTTTCCACACTCAAATCACAATTTCAAAACTTACAAATTCAAAATACAGCTCTATTCTCAAATCATATTTAGAAAACTCTACCAAACCCTACCCAAGTTTTTATTACTAACTCTCTCAAGTACACAATTGTACACTCAATTACTCTCCACTAAGTTCATGTGACAACCACTCACAGGTCCCACACCCACTTGGCTGGACCTACACTACCATATTCATATCACACTGATCACACAAGACCTAGGCACGCACAATTACACTTGTATTCCTTGCACAAGACTTCTAGGACAGCTCACACTAGATCACTCTTGTATTGCATGATACCCAATACAAGGGCTATTTGCTTCTCAAAAAAATAAAAATAAAAATAAAAATACAAGGGCTATTCCATATTTATAGGTAGGTAGGTAAAATTAGTAGTTGGTAAATGATGAAGTTTGAGTTGGCAAAACGAGTAATGAGGAATTTACTCCTAGAGATATGAGATGCTAAAAAAATCTAGAGGGGGAGAGAGGAAGGAGAGTTAGTGATGAACTCTCAACACTCCCCCTTGGCATTGTAGTTTAGGTAACCATGCCATGTTTTTGGAATGCCTCATTAAGATATCTGCAACTTGGTCCTTTGTTTTGATGAACTTCGTCTCTATCTCTCCCAGTAATGTCTTTGTGAAGTGATAATACACCTCCATTCTATCAGAATCGACGTTATGATGGAATGGTCATTCAATTCCTCTTCATTCCAATAAACCAAACAGAGCAATGTGATGTTTTGCTAGTGAGAATGCATGATTAAGAACCTGTTTTAAATACGATGGCAAATTCAATAGGAAAAGAGCTCTGGCCAGGGCTCGCAAATGAGCATAGGGAAAGGAATCCAGGGAAATTGTTCAATCCGTTCATAACATTGTCTTGTATTGACTGCTGAAGTTTCCTTCCTTTAGTGAACTTTCACAAAATAAGAGTAAGGCACCTCCCTTCTACAAATATACCTTGTCCATGTTGTTATGTTTTTCTCACACCATTCAGTTGTGAAAGCCCAGGTAAGGACAGTGAGGCCCAAGCTTGCAACCTGAACTGAAGCAAGTCCAACTATACTTCCACCTTCTCACAAGAATTAGACTCTTTTCTAGGTAGCTTTTTAGGTCGTAAACTGCCTTTTCAGAATACCACATAAATTAGTTTCATGCTTCCATGATGTTGCGGCAGCTTGTAATGGCCAATATAGATGTGAGTTTGCTGAACTGTTTTTCTGGTGTGCAACAGTAATGGATCCCTCGGGTATTACAATATAATAATGTTATATAATGGTAGTAGTTGATTTCTGATGCAATCAGGCCTGATATCAGTGGAAGTGAAATATTAACTGATTTGATTTTAGCACTTGATCTATCAATTTACTTGTATAACTAGCTTATTTTTTCCTTCAATAGTGTCACCTATATATAATATATATATTTTTAATGTTGTCCTCTTTTTCTTTCTCATGCATGCTAAGTGATATCTTCATTCTCTTAATTCTAAACAGAGAGGGCCCATATCTCCTGAAAAAGAAACGTTGCCTGTTAGTGACAAGGATGCAATTGTGGAGATAATGGAACAACATGATCACTTTGTTGGCTCAATGCAGTCTCGTTTAGGCAGATTACAGGTGATTTTTAGCTTACCCTGAAAAAAAAAAGGGATTATAGATTTTTTAATTTTATTTTTGTTCCTTCTGAAAGTTGGACATTTGGTGGGCAAATTGTTTTCTTTTTGGTATCTTCTCATACAGAAAGTGCTTTGCTGGAATTGTTCCTTCGTTATTTTATTTTTTTTCCTTTGTTACGTTGCTGGAATTTTTTCTTCTTCTTTTGGATATCTTCTTTGTCTGTGACTCAGTGTACTTCTATTAAGATATATATTTTTCTTATTTGTTGGATCCTGTGCGTGTGAAGTATATTTAATAAAGTAATTTATGTGGTTGGGAATAATGATCCACCTGGTCTGCAAATGTGAGTAAAGGCCCCACTCCCCAGTGTAGCAACTAAGGATGGACTTTGGAAAAACCTTATATAAGTGGCATAGAACCAGAGAGAGAAACAAGCGAGGGATGAAAGCAGAAGAGTAAGAGAGAAACTCGTTGATAAGCATGTTTTAACTTTATTTATCACAATTTGAATGTTTGTAATGGTTTCTAATGAACATTGTGGATCTAAAGTATGTTTTATAAAATATTATTGAATTTTATGTTGTTTTCAAGGCTAAAGAAAATAGAGAATTTCATGTAGTAAGAGATTTTTTTACTATTTAAGATAATTAAAAAAGCTTCTAGAATAAATAATTGATAATTTATAACAATAAAACAAAACTTAATTCAATATTTGTTGGTACAATGATATACTCATACAAGCAAACAATAATATTTGTTGGCAGAAATCAGATTCTAATTAAATTCATTTGAATGGGATTATGGGAGAAAAGAGACAAAATATAATATAAGTACAAATCATAGTTGATAAGAGTGTAACAATGCGTAAAGTGTGATTTATTGGGGTTATTGGCAGATTCTGTCCAATGCAGAAACAATACACGTAAGTATCGGTATACTTGAATTATTATTATTATCATTTTTTTTTGTGGGGATACAAAGTGGAGAATCCGAATTGGGAAGCCCATAATTTTTTACACGGATGATGTTTTGATCCATGGTTCCTTCAATAAAAGTTTATTAGCTCTTCTATGGGAATCATTACATAAAAATCTCACGGCAAATGCTTGATCTATGAAATGAGGATTACAACCATCTAAGGTAGTTTAATCATTGTGTTATTTGCTTTTCACTGCCCTCATCAATTATTTATTGAAATAAGCTATTATTCATCAGAATTAGCGGTGGTACGGTAACAACTGATCTACTAGCTAAAGGTTTCTGTCTAATTTCTTGCAGATGGTCCACAAATACTGGGAAAGGCATGATGTTAGAGGGGCCATTGGTGCGATGGAGAAGATGGCTGATCATGCTGTAAATTCATATTACATTTTAGAACAACTATTAACTTTTTTTGTGTTTCTCATGATGTGTTTTATGTTTTCTCGTGTCTTGGATAGCACAAAGATTTTTATATATATACATATTTTTTTAATTTTCACAGAACTAATTTTTCAATACAGCCATATAATTAAATTTCTGTTTGCTGTAACTTGCAGGTTCTTGCTGATGTGATAAGCTTTTTGACAGAAAAACCTGATATTATCACATTGGATATTTGCACTTATCTCCTGCCACTCCTCGCAGGCCTTCTTGAAAGCAACATGGACAGGTAAATATGTTCCGGTCTTTCATTCATGTTCCTAGCCTCTGAACAGCCACTGATAGAAACTGCACTGACTCATGGTCAAGATTCAGTTCAATCAGAATCTACTACTTGTTCCCTAGTTCAATCAAATAATCAAATTTGAGGAAACACTACGTATTTGTTGAGCCAGCTGGTTCCTTGAGAGCCAACAAGCCAACTCTTCGACAAAAAAAAGGCTTTTAAAAGTTTACATGTTTGAATTGCCGTAGCGGTTGTTACGGCTATTACATTATTACTACAGGCCTTTACATGTGCGAATTTCTGTCTCACCACTATAGTGGCCAGTAATGTGATTAGAACCTTCTGAAACCACTGCTTATGGCCTTACATAGCAGAGTGGATGATTTTCAAAACCTTTGTGGAGAGTGAGCGCTCCTCCCAAGGAGCCTTCCTTGCTTGTTTTTGAGGCAACTCATGCAAAGATCATAACAATTATTAAATTTTAGGATAAATTACAAATACAACCCTTCAAGTTTGCTTAAAATACAATTGTCTCTTGTGGTTCTGGAAATTACAACACCCCTTTGTTAGAACTTTTTACTTAATAGAATTAATAGGAAAAATAAAATTTTAACTACTCTTTTATACAATAATAAAATTACCTAAATTGTTAATTGAACTATATTTCTGACACCACTAAAAACTGTAATTGAGTTGATGATTTATTAATAAAAGGGGTCATTTGTTATGCGATTGGAAACTTGAATGGGTGAGATGTAATTTCCAGAACCATAGGGAACAATCTGTATTTTAAGTAAATCTCAAGAGGTGTATTTGTAATTTATCCTAAATTTTATTAGAAGAAGGAAAGTAAGCCTAATTGGTTTTAAATGTATGAGGAAGTTGGGGAGTACGTAGATCATCTCTTTTGTAGTTGTAGGGAGCTAGTGTTATAGTGCCAAAAAGTATTTGGGACCATATCATAGTCAGTATTAAGGCACCAAAACAGGTAGTATTCATATCCAACCTTATAAATGATTCAATTCAACAGTCAGATTTGGAGATTTGTATCTTAGATTGCCTTATTTTTTCTTTTTTAAGAGGTTAATTCTAGGTGTCATTATCTTCTCTTTCATGCATCTGATCATGAATTTGTTGGGGTTACACATTAATGAAATATTCTTCTATAAGGAGCACATATAAGGACGCAAACACAAATACGACATCACACAAATATTCCGACATGGAAAATTTTAAAAGTACGAAGATACGACACAACTCAGTAGGTACAAGTCAACACAAGCATGAAAATAATTTTGTAAATAATAATGGTTTCTTCAATTTTTTACATTACAATTACGTTTATATTTCTTTTTTTCAAAATAATAATAAAAATGCTCATATCAACCACTGGGGTTTGCTCAGTGGTCAGGCTTGTGTACCTCACTAGGAGGTCACAGGTTCAATTCCCCTCCCTTGTGCCCAAAAAGAAAAGAAAAGAAAATAAAAATCCTAATATCTATTTTAAAATCCTTTATTCATGAAAAGATTAGAAGTTTTGAGTTTTAGAATTCCTGAAATTAGAAAGTCTAAAGGAGGGATTAGTTTGTATAAATGCACATTGTTTTTATTTTAACCTTGGATTCCAATATTTCCAAACTTACCATGTGTTTCATGTGTGTCTAAGTGATGGATATTTGTGTCCCCCCAAGTGTTTGAAGCTTGTCCGATTCTAAAAAAATAAAAAAAACTATAGTATGACACACATTTGGACGCGTCTAACAGGTGTCTAGGAGTATCCAACTAGTGTTGGTGCCCGACATGGACATGCCACCTTACAAATGTCTATGCATCTTAGATTCTTTTCCACCCCTTCATTGAATTTCCTGATTCCGGCGATTCTAATGAGTCTATGCATCTTCTTGCTTCAGAAGTCCTCCATCTTATTGCTGGACTGCAGTATCTAGCCATCATAATTTGTAAGAAATTTCTTTCTTTCATTCAGGGGTATACAGAGAGCTGACAATTGTGGTTGTTTGGCGGTCTTTTGCAACATATCTAAATAGAGAAAACGTGTTGCTAGGATATCTACTCGTGCATTACAAGTACGTGGGATCGCGGATATTGGGTACTTTGGTCATTGTTTATGGAAGCATTCTTGCCCTTGCCCCAAACACCTAATGGAATGAGTTTGGGGAGAGTATAGCAGTGTTGGGGTGGGTTTTGGGTAAAAGAAATAGAATTGAGTTGTTTTCAGGAAGAAATGGGGTGAGGTGGACCTCGACCGCCCCCGCCCCATCCTGATTAGATATTAATTTTACAAAGATCTTTCCATTTATCACTAATATCCCAACGTTATTCAAAATATTAACAGTTTCATTTAATCAAAGATTGAGATGTCTTCTCATCTCTCTCTCTTTCTCTCTCACTCTCAATTTATCACTTCGTTCTTTAATGGTGGGCATCTGCCATCAATTTCCTATTCCTTGTCTGTTAGGACACATTTCCACCACTTGTTGTGTGGTCTTGGTTGTCACCCTATGCCTTTGGGCTTTCTGTCGTCTTGGTTGCTATCACCTTTCAAGGTTGAATGAGACGTAGTTCCTATTGCACGCTAATAGGTTGAATGAGGCATTGATGATATGACAAATTTTCTTCTGATTCCTATTTCATGCTTTACCTTTTCCCCAAATTTATTCTGACGATTCATAATCATGTTATTCTAAGTTGCAACTGGACCCAGTTGCTCGTATTAATAGCCTGTCCATATGTAGGCATCAAGGTCTTTCACTGGAAATGCTTCTTAAGCTTGTCAGGGTATTTGGTTCGGTGATCTATTCAACTTTATCAGCATCATCCTCTGTTGGTGTAGATATTGAGGCAGAGCAAAGGTATTGATTGGATCTAAGTCATCATTATCATCAGCTGTTTTTATATATAATCTTTTACTTCACTTAAATTCTAACCGGAATGGACTCTACTGCTTACTGGGTAATAAAGGCAAGAGCGTTGTAACCTCTGCTTCATCGAGCTTGAAAAAGTTAAACGCTGCCTTCCTGTGCTTTGCAGGTGTGTGTTTTCTTTAGATGGCTGCTTGTTTGCAGACTTTATGACAATTTCACCTTGCTTTGCATTATCTGAATTAATTATTTTTTTCCTTCTTCTTCTTAAATTTTCAGAAGAGGGGGGTCCATTGCGAAGTCTGCCCAAGAGCTGAATCTAGCACTTCAAGAAGTTTCACGGGCTTAGTTGATTAAAAATTAACATATACTCAATTGGAAGAATTCTTGGCCACACAGGTTTTTTTTTTGTTTTGTTTTGTTTAATTTTTAATGTATCAATTATCAAGATATGAACTCATTGTGATGGGATCTGAATTGTTACATGCCTTCGAACTCATTGTCTGGCCTTGCCTCTTCTCCTCCTGATCCTTTTATTACATTGTTCATTGGTCATGCTAAGTGGAACAATTAACTACGACTGATCCTGATCCTGATCCGGCTGTTAAAAACTGACATGTGTGCCCTCTCTGCACCTGCTGTTGGTTGCTGCGCTTGGTTTTGGCAACCGCCAATTTGATAAGGATCCATCCATTCACACCTTTTATCAATTTCTAACCATATATATGTATCTTCTGGCATGTAAAGTTGTAACTCTTGGCTTCTTGTTTGAGATTATGTATCAGTTCGATCATTATTATGCATTAATACAAGCGTGTCTTGAATTAAGCACTTATGAGTATTAATACAAGTAGTCTTTTTTTTTTTGTTAACTTTCCTACTAAATATATTAAAAACCGTCATAATCAGGGACTGAAAGAATATGGAGACGATGTTGCAGAGTTGTGCTTGAGGCATGTTATTTCTTCCCTCTGAGAATATGAAAATGAACTCTACCAATTGAAGGGTATAAAATTGACCTATACTTGCATGTAACCCCCATCTCATATTCCCTAATACTTATTATTGAAATCATGGAGGCAAGACTTGTTTGTGCGGCCATTGAGAATGAATAGGACTAACTCAAGGAATAATTAGCAAAGTAGGTATGTGGCATAACTATGTGCGGATAATTATGAAAAATACTTGATCATGAAACTTTTCTTTGTGTTTAGAAGAACATAAGGCCCAGTCATTGAAAACAATGTGGCTTTATCAAAAACTCTAAAATTTTGAGTGTTGGGTTCTTCTCTCTCAAATGTGCAAAAGCCTTGTTCAATTGTTTATAGGTAATGTACTCACTCGTATTAGTTAGAACCTAATAGCCGGAATAGAGCTCAGTAATTCTTCTGTAGGGAATATGGAATGATGCTTTTGCTCAAGTGGGTTTTAGAGACGGTTCATGCAGGTCTTGCAATATGTCTGCTCTAGGCTGCCCCCTCTATAGTTTGCTTGAGTGGCCTGAGGTCATGCTCGTCCAACCTTGGCTGGCTGTCCTATTTTTCTCAAAATTTCAAAGCTAGAGGTCAGCACACTAAACTAGTTTTAGTTGGGTCAATTTTGTGCATTATGCATCCTAACACCACTAATGCAACATGCTTGTGTAAGTATACATATGTGCAAGTGCAAGTAACGGAGAGATGATTGTATTGTAGTATCGATGCAACGGAGCTAGTCTACAAGTTGCAACACTCGTCAAAACTACCTAACCACGACATTTCTACTTTTGGCTTTTATTCTGTGCATGTGATAAAACACACGTATAGGTTGTCTTGGTTTGTGTTTGTTGAATCACTGACAAGTAACAAGCCACACATGTCATGATGATTACATCACATCAAAGTTTGTAGCACATTCGGTTCTCTTACATAATACCGCTTTAGACATCATGGTGGTAGAGACCTAGATATCCTAGCTTAACTTGGATTTAACTTAGAATATGTTTTTCAAATTGGTCAGTTGTTTTTATTCTTGCTTGGGATGCTTTGAATAAATGTGGAGGTTTTATCATTCTTACGGAAATGTTGAATAATAATAATATCCTCTCACAGTAGTATAACTGGAGTTCCTTAAAGTAAAATTATTTTTTATTTCTAAAATTATTCGCCACACCACAGTTATACATACACACCTACATACATATATTTTTAATACTACAACATTATAGACTTTTGCATAGGAGAGAGATTACAAGATTATTGAAGGAAATAAAGAGTATGATATTCTAATTATGTGGTGTGAGTATATACATCTTGCATGCATGGGCATCTACGCCGGCCTTTAGTTGATCTTGAATCGATGCTGTAGTGCTATGCTGCAAGATTGTTAATTTAAAGAGAAAAGAAGCATGTGTGTTAGACATAAAATCGTCAACAAGAGAAGTAATTTGATTCTAGAAAAGAGAGAGAGAGAGAGAGAATACCTTCCATAAGTCTCGAGCATCAACTACTGTGGATGGCTTAAGCCCAATATCTTTCCAATCTGCAGTTATGGTAGCATTAGACTCTCCTCTGTTCCATAGCACAACCGCTACTCTTTTCCCACTTAGAGGACCGGCCCAAACCTGTATCCAATCACTCACTCAAATCTAATTTTCAATATAAATAAGGCTACAAATGAAAGTAATAATGTGCAAAACAATCCACTCTTTGTTTTTGTCTGGAGACTAGAGATGATGCATGTTAGTTTGAACAAAGGATTTCCCACCGTACAAAACAAACAAACGAAAGTAATGGTCATTTCTATTTTCTATTTTGATAAAATCTCTTTCTTCCTTAACAGTTAATAGAAAAGATAAAAATGGACAGAATAGAATACCTCTAGATCTCCATTTTTATTTACTTTCTTCCCTTGGACACCGAGCTTATCTGTTACCCATTAAATATAGAAAAGAATTAACACATAATTAAACATTAAACAAGAAGAAAATAAATAGGGTATGAAAAAGAGGAGGAGGAGGTGGAGGTGGAGGTGGAGGAGAAGAAGAAGACAATGTGGGTGGGGTTGGGGGTGGGTAGCAGTGAGTGTTGAGAGAGACCTTGATTGACTGCAATAACCTCCTTGTTGCTTAGCAATTGGAATGTATCACTATCCATCGACCGGATGTCACACCCAATGATAAGGGGTGCCTACGCATATGCCATTGCCAACCAACCACAAAACACACAAATAATTCCAACTTCAATAATTATTACTCTATATATATGTTAACTTATGCATTTTTTTATTTCATAAAGAATTGGAGAAAGTAAAAAAGATATATAGGAGAATAAAATGAAGCGAAGAAAGTTTAAACATTCTGTTTTTACAGTTGGGCTAGGATTAATGTAGTGATCAAGAAGAAATGATCCAATATTTCATCACGGATATGTACCTTTGCTAAAGCCCATATGCTAAAGTGAGAGCGATACTCTTCTGTTGACATCCCCCCATTGCCTACTTCAAGCATGTCAGGATCTAATGGCCATAAATGATGTGAGATCAATTATACAACATGATTTAGATACTTTTCTTTCATTGTCAATCACACTTGAATTGTAATTGTAATTGTAATTGTAATGTAATAAACAGACATATATATATGACAAATTAATGTTAAAAAATTAATTATATGACTTTTAAAATAATATGCTTATTGATTAAGCATATAACTAATTACCGTTCCATCCTCCTGGTCCAGCATAAGATGCCCAGACATCATTTTCATCGGCACGTGAAGTCATACTGCATCATGTGCATGCAGAAAAAACAAAATCCATGTCATGATTTTATTTTTACCATAATTTTTTAATATTACTCTCATCATCATAAAAAAATTCTACTATAAAGATAAAATTCACATTATCTAATTAGGGGTTTTTAATTTGTTTACCTCTTCCAAGTGTCTTTAATGTCTCCAGTTGTTCTCCAACTATTTCCTATGCTAGCTGCCCAAGTCGCTGGGTTTTCTTGGCCCCTAAAAAAACCAGATCATCCTTTTTGATGAATATATAATATAGTTATGAAAACAATTAATTGTATGGTATTTTAAACTAATTAAAGAAAGGAGATTAAAATTGAAGACATACCATTCACATAGGGAAAAGAAAATGGGTCGTCCAGTTTTAAGGAGAGCTTTACTCATTGTCGAATATCTACAACCAAGGATGTAAACATGTATTTGTTATCAGTCCCTACATTAATTCTTCTACCAAAAATAAATAAATAATAATAATAAAAACAAAAACAAAAACAAAAACAAAAACAAAAACTTAAATTTGTTTTTCAATATTGATCTAACATGAATTAGTTTCATAATACATAAAACTGATTGACAATGACAAATGATTGAATAATCTATCAACCCTATATATAATTAAATTTTATCTAAATACTGCATCGTGTTTTTTATTAGTCAAAAGAAAAGGTAATAAGTACTTTTGCATTCGTTTTACCTTTCTTGTGGAGTCAATCCATTATTGTGGCAATTGTCATACTTCAAATAATCAATTCCCTTAAAAAGACGGACAAAAAAAATCATATTAGTCAAGGCAAGCTTGTGACTCCAGTGGAGTAAATTTAGTATCAAAGGAACAATAAAATAGAAACAAATACAATCCCAAATTTATAGTTTTTATTCTTCCCACCTCCAACATCTTACTAATCTTGCATGCAAGCATGGACGCACACATGGCATAGATAACTAATACAATTTTAATTTAGTTTATTATGCAATCATTTGATGAATAAAATGTAACGAAAATGCATAATCGATCAATTATTTAAGACATACATACGTACCCATGAAGCAAAGGTGTTGGCATCATGTTCCTCGTAGCCAAGTGATCCAGGCATCCTTTTGTCACAAGTCAATGTCCTGAAAACAATAATACATAAATGGAACAATTTACAAGCTAGGGAATCCTTTTATTTGCATCAATAATACTCTTTCTTTTTGCTAATCAAAAAGAGAGAAGATATTGATAACATATGTTGGATTAAAGAATTAGTTATGATGAGTGAGGTTTTAGGATTATAAATAATCAGCTCTCATAAATTTTACAAATTACTGACATATGTTATCTTTGATGATCTATAATTTGTCAAATTCGAACTGTCAGTTAACTCTGTTACCCCGCATCAGCGTAAATCCCAATCTTGAGCCCTTTGCTGTGGACATAATCTGCTAGAGTCTTCATACCAGATGGAAATATTGTAGCATTTGGTACCAAGTTTCCCTGCATATATATATATATATATATAAGACAAATGCGGCCCAACATTGATGTATGTATTATAGATGTATATATTTCAATCTTCTCCTCGTATTTATTAGTGCATCTATATATATGTATGTGTGTGTGAGAAAGAGAGAGAGAGAGAGAGAAATTAATTTAATCAAACCATCAAAAACTTTTGATACGTGTATATATTTGAGATGCTTGATCAGAGTGAATTGTTGAGCATACACTTATGCTTGCTAGAGGACATAGTTTTAGTTCCAACACCATCTAAACCACCAAGTCCTTTCGTTTTTAAAATTTTCTTATTTCTACTTACAATGAGACCCACCACCACCAGTGAGTACGGGGATGAAAAGTTAATCATTTCTCATATAAGTATTTTTAATTACTTATTAAATACTCAGGATGTTATATAAGTATTTGTTCTTGCTATTTAATCATACATATATATATATAATATAAATGTACAAATCATAATAGATGCGAAAGACTTTATATAGATTATTGATTTGTACCTTAGAATCTCTGTTCAGTTCAGCCCAACAGTCGTCTGTTTAATTAAAATTGAAACGCACAAATTAACAAAAGACGTTAATACTTGTTAGATTATATAAATTAATTTTACTTTCTTTCAAAATTCAGAAGAAAAAAAAAACCCCAAAAAAACTTGCCCAAATTAATGTACTCATATCCCAAGGCTGCTAACCCAGTAGAAACCATTGCATCCGCTGTGAAAGAAGAAAAATCATAGAGTTTGATAACCATTCCTCAATATATAGAGGTATGCATTGGAAGTCCAAAAAAATGAAAAATAAAAATAAAAACAGTGAGACCGAATTCATATATATATATATATATATATGTATCATTGTATATATTTAACCAGTCTGGCGAATTAGTTGGTCGCTGAGCTTGCATGGGAAGTGGTTATAACTGTTCCATCTGCAGTACGTACCATAATATTCATTATTGCCACACAAGTATGAATGACGGATTCCGCATATATACTCTCATATGTTTAAATTTATATGCATATATAGAGTTGAGTATATGTGACTTCATCTCTATATTGCAATATACTTTGTTTGCTCTCTTAAATTCCCAGCCTAAGGTGTTCAAAAATTTATTTGAAGGGTGACAAATGACTATCCAAACAGGCTAATTAATGTGTACAAATTTTGTTTAGGAAGTGACAAATGGCGCAACATATGTTATTTTTTTGAGAAGTAACTGTTTCATTGTCAAGTACGATACATTACATGTATGAAAAAGGAAAGGAAAAAAAAATAAAAATGAAAGGGAACACCCTTTAATGCATGTGGCGCGACACCTAGTTATGCTTAGTGAGGAAGGGAGAAAAGATGTTATTTTAGAAATAGCTGTACTACTCAGACAGACAGAATTTCACATATCTCGTAGTTTCAGTAGCGCCAAGACTTTTTGTATATTCTATATGTAATGGGAATTAGAAAGCATGTAGAGTAGATTGAAGGAGGACAGTATATGTAGGAATATATATATATATATAGAGAGAGAGAGAGAGAGAGAGAGAGAGAGAAAGAGAGAGAGAGAGAGAGAGAGAGAGTACCGACCCCATCTGAGGTGTGCGACCAAGTCCATTATTTAACAGATTTCTTCTTGCGGAGGTTATGGATATGGGTATGGCCTCTTCATGGCTACTACTACTGCTAACTGATACTCCCAAAAGGCTGATCAACAAAATAAACAAGAACGCCATTCTTGACACTTTTGAGGATAAGAAGAAGAAGGAAGAACAAACTAGACCACCACGTTGAACCATGCTCATACTTCTTTTTGTGTCTCTTAATTTCTCTAATGAAGATATTTGAACTGCATAGGTATCTATTTATATATGTGTAGAAGGTGTCTTCTTCTCCTTCTTCTTCTTTTCACACATATATCTATTCTATTATATAAAATCTACAATTTACTTTTTCACAGGTTTTTTTTAATTCCTAAAATTGTCCCTTTGAAACCACTACATATTTTGATCTCAAATTTCAAATTTTGGTGATTTTTCTAGTTTTCTTTTTCCTCGCACATTTTTTTTTGACAATGATAAAAATATTCTTCATCTACATTCAATTGGATGATTTTCATAGTACATTTTTGTATGTGTGTATATATATAAAATAAGTAATGCATTGTCACATACAAGGATGAATCTAGAGAGGGACACTATAAGACAACACATTTTTGGCGACCATGTTTGGCTACCAAAACAAATTTAGTCGCCAAAAGTGTGGGAATTGGCTACCAAAATTAATTTTAGTCGGCAAAAGTCAACTTTTTAGCTATTAAATTTTTTTCATAGGGGAATGTTAATTATTGGTGACTAAAAAAAATTTAGTAGCTAAAAATATTACAATTGGCGACTAAAAAAAAATTTAGTAGCTAAAAATATCACAATTGGCGACTAAAAGAAATTTAGTCAGCAAAAATGCCAGAAATTGGCGACAAAAAATACTTTTAGTCGCCGTAGGTGTACATTTGGCTATTAAAACCTTTAGTCGGCAAATGTAAAATAAAAAATTAATTTTTGTCTTAAGTTGATTTTCAGCGACAAAATCTACTTTTAGTCACCGTAGGTATACATTTGGCTACTAAAGCCTTTAGTCGACAAATGTAAAATAAAAAATTAATTTTTATATACATTTGGCTACTAAAGCCTTTAGTCGGCAAATGTAAAATAAGAAATTAATTTTTATTAATTTTTCTCCTTTTCCTTATATTTGCCCTAGCCCTTTGCAGATGTTCTCTCTCTCTTTCTCTCTCTCTCTCTCGCGGTCTGAATCTTTCAATCCCTTCTCCTTCATGTTCTTCTCAATCCCAATCTGGTGATTCTGGCGGACTTTGCAAATGAAGCTCACGGCGCCGGTGAATAGATTCAGTGTGTGTGTGTGTATGTGTGACAGAGAGAGAGAAAGAGAGAGCAAGAGAGTGCGTAAAAAGTGAAGCCTTTTGGTTCAAAGAACCTCCCTCTCTGTTTCTCTCTCTGAAATCGTAATCTGAGCATCAAATGTAGGAGAAGAAGAAGAAGACAATCAGACCCATAATTACACCTCCTCCTCATGCGGTAAATCCATCATCACTCATATATTCATAAATATGTTGCGTTTTTTCTGATTTTGTTTTTAATGGAATCATTTGATCTTATTCAAGCTTAATTTGATTTTAAGGTTAGGTTTCTTTGTGTCTTGATTTGGGAGATGAACAAAGAACGCCCTCCTGAGCCTCTTGATTTCTTCATTTGGACTGTCGATGTGCTCTTTTTAAATTTCTCTCTTTATATATTATATTTTATGCCGATCTATGATTCTGATTCATTCTTTTGCCTTATCTTGGTGAGGTGTAATTGGGTTTTTCTTCTTTTTTTGGATGTCCACTGTTTGGTTGCTGAGAAAATGAAGGAAAATGAAGGAAGTTTATGTCTTTTCTATCACTTGGACCTGAATACATGTCATTCCCTATATAAATATTTGGATTTTAATTTGGGTTTGGGAAATCACTCAACAATAAGATTGGACTATTAGTCTTTTTGTTTCTGTTTGGATTTACCACAGCTTTCTCAGCAACTAAAGGAGAATTTGGGAATAAGAGATTGTTTGTAATGATATGCTTAGTGAAATTATCGTCAAGTACTTTCAGATGTTTTCCTTTGGCCAAGTTTTATTAAACTAAGGATTTGAAATTATGTTCTTGATTATTGATTTGGATTGTGTGCGGTTCCTTGCAGTTATGTTAGATTTTTAGAGCAACAAATTTCAAGTGATAATCAGAATATGGTATTGGGTTCACTTTGCTCATCCCAACTTATAAATAATTGATAAATTTAGGGCTGATTTAGTAGATGAGATATGGGTGTTTGGGTCTAGACTGTCCCCAGTTGGCTGGTTTGATCTGGTCTGTCTTTGGGTAGGAGAGTGTATCATTGATCTGGTTTTGCTGCAGTGGGCTCCTGGTAAATCTGGGTGGTCTAGCTTAGGGTAGCAGTTTAGCTCTGCTTCTGCTCCTGGTAATCAATCAATCAAACTTAACTTAACTTAACTTAACTTAACTAAAAAGTAGTGAAAGTTTATTGAGTCACCTAAGTTGATTTTTATTTTTTGTTTTTTGATTTCTTCTTCTGATGAATCTAAGATGATACATTTAATCATATTAGTTCTATTATTTCATATTTGAAATGTTTGCTTCAAAGACCATGACAACTGGATCTCTGGGTTTAATTACAATACTTGTTTGTTCCCTCCAGAGTTCGAAGATAATCCTCACCTTTATGTATTGAAGCCAATGAAATATGTAGGCATTGAAGTTTGGAAAGTAAGACTCTTGACTCTCTATTATTAAAGTATTGTTATTTCTTCTAATTGGGTCTATGATCTTGCACTTTCTGATTCAAGCTGAGTCTGTGAACCTCTGTTCTTATGAAGTAAAAAGGTTGCAATGCTTCATTGTCAGTTTCAGGACTTTGGTCAATTTTATTGATTTTTTAATTTTTTTTGAAAAAGTTGTTCTTGTCATCGGTCTGAAACCCATTTTTCTTTTCTTTTTTTCCAAAAAGGAAGAAGAAAATGCTGACCCTATTTGTTTTGAACTTTTCTAATCTCGAGTGTGTTAATCTTTACCCATTATGTTGTTGTGAAATGTATCAAAGAAACATTTTTGCATAATTTAGCAAAGCAACATTTTTCCATTTTTGCATGATTGGAAGGAAGTTAAAAAAGAACAGTGTAGCCCTTGATATTGTTAATTTTGGTGAAGAAGATAAGGGGAAAGCAGAAAAGCTAGAAGCCCTTCTTGCTGCTGTAAACAATAATGACAGCAGTCACATTGTTCATGTTCCTACTGGTCCAAATGCTCTCTCTAATGTTCTGATAAGGTTGCTTGTCACTCTTTCATCTATGTTTGCTTTGCATTGATATCAAACTTAATTCACATTAGAGCTCCCTGCTACAACGAAGTCTTCGATTGTCGTCATTGTCACAATGAATCCACGGTATTATGATCAAATTACTCTATCCCCTGCTACCCTTTGTCAGGTAACTCTCTCTTCCTTCAAATTTTTCCTTCTGATCTTTGCTTTATACATAAACAACACATACAAATAATGGTAAAAACTCACAGTATGTATCAGTTGGCAAAACCACTGGGCTTTGAATCAAGGCTCATTGACTACTATTAAAAAAAATTACGTTAATCGAATATTTGTAGTAATATGGTCAAATGATATATATTTTTTAGTTATGCGTTAATGATTTTGACTGCTAAGTTATGCTTGAGAAAATACCAAATTTTGTTGCATCTTAGATTAATGATTGATAGTTGTGGATTTACTTATAGATCACTTAATGATTTTTAGCCTCCTACTATATTTGATTTTTAGCTTCCTACTATATTTGAAGGTGCGATTATTACAATGTTTTATAAGACGTGGGCAATGGGTGTATTGGAAAATGTTCTTGCATCTTTCCATTCCATTTCTCGATTTTCTGATTGCATTACTACATTTGCATTATTTTGCAGTTGGTGTCTTCAGAAAGAAAGGTACCAAACTATATGAAGCAAGCTTGAAAGATGAGAAGCCTTTAGATCAATGGCTTCATTGTTAAATTAAGCAAGTGTTTTAGTAAATAAATTTAATTTTCCCATCATGTTTACACCTTCAAAATATTATGTAAATGACATTTGATGTAGAATTTTGTGTACAAAGGATATCTGTTTTGTATGATTATTTGTTTGTATGGAATTATTATTTTGGGTTGGATTATATTTGATTTGTATAGAATTTGATGTTAAAACACCAAATTTTTGTATGGTTGAAACGAAATAGAAATATGTATTATTTTGTATATATACAGGGTGCAAGTTGCACGAAATAAATACAAGTTGTGGATAAATAAATTATAATAAAAAAAACACTAAATAAAGTTTTTGGCAAGTAAATGTTTAGTAGCCAAAAAAGAAAAAGTGAATTTGTTAGTGACTAACCAATTGGTAGTTAAAAAGGAAATCAATGTTTTTAGCCACTAAATATTTGGTAGCCAAAAAGAACCCAAAGATTTTTGGCTACTAAATAGTTTAGTAGCCAAAAATAAATAAAGACATTCGGCGACCAAATGGTTAGTAGCAAAAAATAAAATTTAATGAAAAATAATTTTTTGGCTACTAAATTCTTTAGTTCCTAAATGTAGTAATGTTGCCGACTAAAACTTATCTACGACTAAAATTTGTAGTCGCTAAAAAAAAAATTAATTTATTTGAACACTTTTGGCGACTAAAAATTTAGTCGCCAAATATCCCCTTTCCCGACTACTCAGAGTTTTGTAGCCAAATGTTCACTTTTGGCGACTAATATTTTAGTCACCAAAAGATAAACTTTGCCGACTAACCAGACTTTAGTAGCCAAAATGTTCACTTTCAGCGACCAAAAATAGTTTAGTCACCAATACTATCGCCGATAGCATAGGCGACGACTTTGATGACAAAAAAAATTAGTCGCTAATTTGTTTCAGTGACAAAAAATGGAGCTTTTGGCGATCAATATTTTGATCGCCAAAAGTGTCATTTCCTGTAGTGGGATAAGGTGACAATCATCCCCTTTACAATTTATAAAAGTTGCTTTATTATACTAGTATTAATTATTAACTTCAAATTTTACAGACCTGTCCCGTTAAGTTTTTTATTTTTATTTTATTTTATTTTATTTTATTTTTGTGTGGCTAGTTGTACTACTGTACACCTCCATATTTATTGAATATGGGACAAAATATTAACAAAAAAAAAAAAATAGTAACTAATATCGATTACAAGCGCTATAGCTTGCACAGAATAGAAGAAGGTAGATGAGTCAACAAGTTACTTGATGATAAGAAATAGATGATTTGGAATTTTAATGTTAGATTCTATAATGTTAGGAATCATGAAAAAAAATTATGAAATATTTCATAAAAATTTTCCACTCTTAGATTGTACATACAATAAAATATCACACACTAATTAAAAAATAAAAAATATTTATGAAACATTTCATGATTTTTTTTTATAATCCCTAATATTACTTGTATTTAATAACAAGATGAAGGAACATCAAGTACAACTTAAGATGATTTACTTTAGTAAATAGATTGCCTTTAAAAAAAAAAAAAAAAACTCAATATGAATATAAGAAAACATCTCTATTTGTGTATGTTTTTTTGCATTATTTTGCACGGTTCTTTATACCAATAGAAATTTTGATATTGTAATTCATTATTATTTTTTTTCTTAAAATCTTTGTTAGTACTATGTTAAAATCCTAGGATGCCATTTCTCAACCCCACTAGTGCATCCGGGAATGAAGAATGGTAAGTTGGATAGATATATACTATACTATATGATTTTGTTTTTATTAGAGAACAAGAACGTTGTTGTGGTTTTTTGGCTGGATGTTAAGTTCAGACAGACTACTTTGCCGTAGCAGCATCTGCATCTGAAAAAAAATTAATATACACGTATGTATGTCCGCGTGTCGCAATCATCAACGATGATTCCGGTGGCATCTTTCTTTTCTTTGTTCTTTTCTTGACAAAGAACTATTCAAGGTAGGTAGGATCATGATTCTCGGTAGTAGATGGCTCTCCAATAGTTTTGCTGTAATCCAGCAATTTATGTTTAAAGTTTAAATAAAATTAAATCATTTTAGAGTGTAGTATTAAGGTCAATTTATTGAGCAATTCTTCCATGCAAGAAGACTAAGGACACATAACCACATCCATAGAACTAACTAACTAAAATATTCTGATTATACATATCAGATGGTGGGACCTATTATAAAAATATTATAGTTTCACTCAGATTATTTCATGTATGTTTTATGCAGTTGATTCCGTGGTCCATTATAAGTTTATAGACTTTTAGTTCTTCCATGCAAGGAGGAGATGGTCAAGGCAGTGCCTGCCTCCATTTTGATTGATTTTGAATGTGGAGTCTATCAATTTGTGTAGGGGGTGTATGGGAGACAAGAGAGGTGCTGATGATTAGTAATTGGTGTAACGTCACATGATATCTTCTTGACATATAAGATTTTTTTTTTTTTTCATTTTCTTCTAATTTTAACTAATCGTTGCATTATATACTTAGTTGATGTGTTTTATTATGATAAAAAGCACAATAATATTGTTGTAGAAAAATCATAGCTGAGAAATAGACTCAACTAAGGATAGAAAACATCAACAATCATTTGCAAAATTACTAATATTAAATACAACTGTGTCAATTCCAAAGGGGCGTCAAACTTGCAATATATAGCCTTACGATTCATCACATGACAAAACCTTTACTACTAGAAGTAATGGTATACAAATTAAAACCAGATGAATTGTTTCTCCAATTATATTATTCGATGAAGTCCTGTTTTAAATTCTGAAATTTTATCTTTGTGTGTCACATCTATTAGTATTTTTTTAAAAAAAATTATCAATTTATATAGCATTAGCTTGTTATAAGTGGACAACTATGAAAGGTAATTCCACCGGGGAGGTGGGGGGTTGGGGTTGGGGTTGGCAAATAGCTGGGCATTGGTCGGTCCAAAAAAGTTAAGGTGAATGTGTAGGTTTCTAGACTTTTTCGTCACGTAATTAAGGACTTAGCATTCTCTCTAAGCTGAAAATTTATTTTTTTTGTTCCATGTGAAAATTCGAGCCTAATGTAATATACACTTATAAAAATAGAACCAAACAAATACGTTTTGCATATCTATTTACATGCAAACACTTTGCTTGGTTCTATTTTTTCAAAAACACTTTTCAGAAAATTCTATTTTTTTATTTTTCATGTTTTTTTTTATTTTTACTGAATTTTTTTTAAATATTTTAAGCAAATTTTTTTACTTTTTAGATATACCTAACATAAATATACTCAAAAAGTAAAAAATTTGTGAAAAAAACCTTTTAAAAATTCACTAAATACCAAAAATATAAAAAAAGAAAAGAAAAGAGAATTCAGTATATTTTTTGTATTTATTAATTTTTTAAAATATTTTTTCACAAATTTTTTACTTTTTAGATACATCTAAGTAAGGTGCATCTAAAAAAGTAAAAAAAAATATTTAAAATTTTAAAAATATTCACTAAAAACAAAAAAATACAAAAACCAAATAACTCAAACCAAAACAGACAACTTTCAAATTATGTTGTTCTTTTAGACAAAAAAAATAATAATATTTGAGACAATTACTATACAAATTTTAAATTTACGTTTATGACTCGAGTGCCCTAAAAAATATCATTCTTATAACTTTTTACTTATAATATTATAAGCATTTTCACTGTATTAAGCTTCTTAGGCTTCTATGCAAATACGTTTGCTGTCATATATTATCTTTTTTTAAGGTATGGACTGTCATATATTATCATTGGGCCTATATGAGCTAACTTATTTTTATATGCAAATCAATTAGATAATAATTGTAATTTTAGTGGAAGATTTGTGCAAAATATTATGCTAGGTTATGTAGATGGCTAATTATATTCGCACTACAAAAATATCAATACACACAATTTATATAATTCGAATATAGATTTTTGAAAAAAAGTTAAATATTTAGACATAAACTTGGAACAAAAAATAATTGTTCAAATATACATTCTGTTCACAATTATTTTTTATTTAAAATTTTATATCGAAACATTTTACCTTTGTTTAAAATTTATATCTTCCAAACAACATAAATGTTGTCTATTAAAATTTTCGATGGTGTGCGAATAAAATTTCCCTAATAAGAGTGATATTTAAAAAAGCATGATACCAAAGACAAGATACTTACTCTGTCATCTCTTCTTCCTGCCTAAGTTTCCAAATATGTCGTCTCTCTCTACTTATTACTTGCAAAGATGCTTTGCTTCAGCCACAACATAATGGTCTTCTTTGGGATGTAAATTATTTTAGCTGATTATTTAGTTTTTTAGTTATCTTAATCTGACTAAAATAGTTGTATTTAAAAAAATAATTGATTTTTTTCATAATTGATTTAATGATTATGAGAGAAAAAATAAAATGATTATGAATTAGATGTGATATATTGTCATATTAATTATTTTAACTTTTTTTATCTTTTAGTGGGTTATTTTAATCCAACTCTCTTTTCAAACGGCCCTAATGTGATGATGAGCTGTTTTCTTTCAACAGAAACAAAATGCCAATATTTTGTTTTTGATAGAAATAGTGAAGACAGTAAAGTTATGGTTTAGGTGGCCAAACTATTATGTTTTTGTTTACACACCAATTCAGAGTCAAGTTCAAACATTTTATTTTAATTTTTATTTTTTAATCAATTTAAAATCAATATGTCAAATAATATAAATCTCAATGGCAATGAAGCAAAACAGAGAAAATAAAAGAGAACGAGTGGAAAATCCTAGCAACAATCACCTCCATGAAAAGAAATATGAACAACCTCTTCTGATTTGAAGAAGCACATGATGATATATATGCCCACAAATTTACCAATGCACTCATCTCAATGGGATTCCATCATACACTCCAAAGATTTCAATTTCTGAAGTGCTAATTGACTTTTCTTAGTCCTAATTGTGTAATTTCAAGTCTTTATTGATAATTTCTTCAAGAATTTTCACTGATTATTCACAACCATGGCCAACAAACATAGATCGGTGACTGAGATGTGGGAAATCCAAGGGAGGCCCAGTATTTTTATTGAGTGTGCAAATACGATAATATAACCTCATTGCTCGTCCTTGATAGTTTGTATATATATATGTGTGTGTGTGTGCATATTCTTTGCCCGAAAAAATCAATAAAAAGATCAAACTTTTCACATCCATGGGAGATGAAAGGGAACAATATTGCATCCAATCTTTATTAGTAAATACATCCAAAAGTCAAATAGACTTAATTTTATTTTTTACCATCATTTGTGACATCAGCTACTAAATTGAAGTTCAATATGGCAGTAGAAACTAGCCAAGAGACTGCGTGCTGATAAAAAAGGGTTTCTCAAGAAATAGGCTTCAAGATATACATCTTGCATGCATGGGAATCCACAGTGACTGTCAGGTTCCCGACAAATCGTGTCTTCAAGGTCTTGTGCTGCATGATATATGCGCGATTAGGAGTTATGTTCCAATACCATGGAAGCACGCTTGAAAAATTAGAAAATTAAAATTAAAACCCTAGCTAAAATACCTCCCAAAGATCTCTTGCTTCTACAATAGTGTTGGGAGGAATTCTTAAGTCATCCCACTGGGCTGTCAGGGAAAAGCGAATAGAAGCACGGTTGAGAAGGAGTACAACTACTCTATACTCTGAAAGGGGCCCTGCCCAAACCTGGTGGCCGGGAAACAAAATAAAGCTTACATTTTGCATTGTAAACAAATAACAAAGTAAATGACGGCATCCCAGAAGAAGACTTTCGTCAATTTACCTCACTATCCCCTTCCATTCTGACCTTTTTAGCTTGAACACCGAGTTTATCTGTGTTCAAAATGATCAACACAAGTGCAAATAATTAGAAAACCACTTTATTAAAATCAAATCACCCGTAAAAGAAAGGGGAATATATCTATAGAGAGAGATGTGAAAATGGTATACCTTGGTTAACAGCAATCACCTCTTTATTTGCAATGATTTCCATGGTTTCTTTTGTTGCATTTGTCACATCACAGCCAATGAGAAGAGGAGCCTACGATAGTATGGGCAAGCAAGAATATATAGCTTCACATGGAAGAAATAAAGGGATTTTTTGTATTAAGCCAAGTATATAGCTGTAAAAGAATATAAGCCTCCTTAATACCTTAGACATGGCCCATATACTAAAATGGACTATATATTCATCTTTTGTCATTCCTCCATTTCCCACCTCAAGCATGTCAGGATCTATTCAAAATCAAATCACAGACAATTGTGAACATCTTATACATGTATTTTTTATTTTTCCAAATCATATCATTATTGGTAAACTACTATGATTATGAGAGAATGCTAACCATTCCAGCCACCAGGCCTTGCAAGGTCAGCATAAACTTCATTCATGTCAGCTCTAGAGACCATACTGTTAAACCAAAAAACTTAAAGAAAAATTATACACCAAGCCTCAAATAAAAATATGATTTATAAACTAAAGGAAAGAACAAAGGGAAAAAAGCATGAAAGCTACCTTTCCCATGAATCAGAAATATCATTAGTAGTTCTCCAACTATTTCCAACCTCAGCACCCCATAAAGCTGGGTGCAGGTCTCCCCTGATAAATACATACAGTATAGAAGGAAAATTATGTCAAAATGAGTTTAAAACTGAATTTATCAAAGAGCAGTAAAAAATGTAGTCAAAGAAAAACCAGAATCACCATTCACATAGCGAGAAGAAGATGGGACGGCCTGCCTTCATTAAAGCTCGGGTCATTACAGGGTATCTACACGAAGAAGAGAAATGCAGAATAATTTGTAATGAGATATCTGGTAATTTAAACAGAAATTTACACAATAAATTGATGTAAATAATAAATTGATGATGTTGAACTGTAAGGCAGTAACAATTTTCTTACCGAACAGTTGGCCTTGAACCATCAGTGTTACAGTTATCGTACTTCAAATAATCAATACCCTATGAAGAAACGTGTGTTACTTTGTTACTTGATCATACTCACGAAGCAAAGTTTTTGGCATCATACACATAATTCCTAAAATCATACCCACGAAGCAAAGGTTTTGGCATCTTGTTCTTCATGACCAAGTGAGCCAGGCATCATTTTGCTACAAGTAAAATAACTGCAAAATGAAGTAAAATAGGTCCAACACCTCAGTTAAGGTGGTTCAGTGGATTATCAATGTCAAACAGCTTAAATGTGGAATCCTGTTACCCTGCATCCGAGTAGATTCCTAGCTTAAGACCTTTGCTGTGAACGTAGTCTGCAAGAGCTTTAATACCAGAAGGAAATGTTGATTTCTTAGCCATTAGATTACCCTGAAATTGAAGTCCCAATTAAAGTACAATATAGTTAATGAATATAGACAAAAGGGATTTGGTGATAGGTCCAATTTTAAGGACTTTTTAGTCCTAACCAAGTTTTTTTAACCTGTTAAGTCCCATTAAATGCGAGTTCCAAAAATGTGATCATCATTCGTCATCACCCTAATACCCCAACTCTCTGTACAGACTACAAAGTCGTCGTTTCCTAAACCTCCACTAAACAATTTCTCTGAGTCTACACGTTCATCACCATCCACTACTCCACAACCACAACCAGGTCAGTCCTAAGGATTCTAATATATACATATATGATATATAGTACATAAGTATTTGTATACACGTTGAGAAGTGAAATATAAGCATCGGGGATGTGGTGGGGCTTCCTTTGTCATGAAATTTGCAATGGCAGGACTGACATGTACAATATTTTGATCTTGAAACTCCTAATGAAGGATGTGGTCTGAGGTAGAGTACATGTTAACATTGTAAAACTGAATGTTTGGGTTGTTTTGCACATGTTGCAATGGGAGTGGACTCCCAGCCCTAGACGAAAGTCGTCCTAATTTCTCAGTTTAATTTCAAGAAATTAATTTTTTTTTTCAAAGTTTTGATAAAAATATAAGAAACTGATATTAGTTGCTTTGAAGAATGGGAGTGGTTGGATTGGTTTGGAAATGAGAAGTTTCTCAGTTTTGGAAAAAATTGAGTTCTGAAAACTGAAATTGAAAAATTCTCAATTTCAAAAGTGAGAAATTTTACTCAATTGAAATTTCATAGTAGTAAGAAAATTCAAGGAAAAACTGAAAATTTTCATATTAAAAAAAATTCAAGAAAATGTCAAATTTCTTAGTTTAAGGAATATAAGAAATTTTATAGTTTTAAGATTCAAAATGAAATTAAAAAGAAATTAACTCTCTCTCTCTCAAACACGTACACATTGAGAAATTTCATAAAAATGAGAAATTTCTCATTTTTGAAGCTGAGAAATATTTTAATTTAAAAAAAGTTTCAGTTTTATACCTAATTTCAAATAATTTAGTTTGATGGATCTTGGCCAATAGGATCCAAAAATATCAATTTTATCAAAAATGGATGTGTATTTATAATGAAAGTTATGAAATTAAAATTTTGAAACACAAAAAACCAACCCTTTGCCTGTTAAGCATGCACTCAACCCACAATCACATTACTAAACCATTAATTCAAGGGTAAATGTCAAAAAATTATAACAATTTTTAAAAAGGGACTGTAATGGTTAAAAGATTTATGATGGGACTTATTCTCGCACAGGTCCTTAAAATAGGACATCTCAACAATTAAATCTACGAATAAATCCACTGTTAACCGTCATTGAAGAAAAAAATATGTGGAAGCAAGCAAACCTCATTGTCACGATCAATTTCAGCCCAGCAATCATCTAAAGAAGCAATATCACAATCTTATGTCAGCTACACATGTTGATAGTGGTTTTTGAAGAAAAAAAAAAATGGAGATGAAAATAAGCATAGAAAAGGGTCGTGTTATTGTACCTATATTGACATATTTGTAACCAAGTTTAGCAAGGCCAGTTGAAACCAGAGCATCAGCTGTGGTAAAAAAAAAAGCAGAAGACAAATTAATGAACAATGTTGAGTCTGTCATAGTAACAACGTAACGTATTATTTGAAGAATAATGAAAAAAGAAGAAAGCCCTGAATAAAACAAAAGAAACAAATAAAAACATTTAAGATAACCATCATAAATTATAATTGTTTTGTTACGATCACCTTCGTCGGCTCGCAACGCCTTAGAACTAATTCGAGTCTTTTGACCCGTTGTGGGCTTTGGTTACAGAAAAGAAAACAAAAAGAATTTAGAGAGAGAGAGGGAGCCTCGTTCGAGATAGGCTGGATCTCCAAGTTGACTAGTAATTAGCCTTTTCTGAATATATTTCCAAGCATCAAACAATACATGACTCAATGACTCTTTAAATAGATGTAGTTCCAGCAGATTTGTGATATGTGCATGATCCCATTTTCTAGGGACATGAACACTATACAACCCACAACAGACTCCACTAAACTAAAACAAAAACAGAACAACTAAAATAAAACAGAACAAAGCTAATAATAATAATAAAGGACAGGTCATGGGACACGCCAATGCATGCACGTATCATCCCTCCCTGATGAGAGCTTCCTTGTCCTCAAGGACAAAATCTGTGTACCGCAGTTTGAAGTCGGCCAAATCTTCCCATGTAGCCTCCACCGGCGAATGATTCTTCCAGTGGACGAGCAGTTGCTTGCCAGTTGGCCGAACACGGGTTTCTAATATAGCTTGTGGCAGGACGGCCTGATCGGAAAGATCGATATAAGCTGGGGGCGCGCTTTGAACCACAGCTTCAGGACCAATTTTCTTCTTGAGGAGTGAAACATGAAACACGGGATGAATTTTGCAATCAGTTGGCAAAGAGAGTTTGTAGGCCACAGGACTGATTTTATGGATGATCTGATAAGGGCCAAAAAACTTGGGTGACAATTTCTGGTTGAACTGTTTGGATAGACTGGATTGCCGATATGGTTGTTTCTTCAAGTAAACCCAGTCACCGACGGAAAACTCAACCTCGCGATGCTTCAAATCATAAAGTTGTTTCATTCGATTTTGGCTCAACTGTAACCGGTGACGAATCACCCGTAACATCTCATCCCGAGCTTGTAGAGCTTGGTCTATGGCTTCAAGCTTAGTAGTGCCCGGAATATAAGTAAGCAGTGATGGAGGAGTTCGGCCATAGATTACTTCAAACGGTGTGGATTTGGTTGCACTATGGGAGGATGTGTTGTAGATGTACTTGATCCATGGCAGCCAAGTGGTCCAGTCCTTAGGCCGATTTGAAGTGATACATCGCAAGTACATCTCCAGGGTACGGTTGACAACTTCCGTCTGACCATCCGTTTGAGGGTGGTATGCCGAACTAAAATTGAAATCAGTTCCTTGCAGTTTGAAAAGGGTAGTCCAAAAAACACCTGTAAATGTAGGATCGCGATCGCAGACGATGCTTTTGGGCATGCCATGTAGCTTGAAAACGTTCTCAAAGAATACCTGGGCCACTGTGATAGCAGTGCAGGGGTGTGCCAATGGCATGAAGTGGGCATATTTGGATAGGCGATCAACCACTACGAAAATAACCGTTTTGCCTTTGGATGGTGGTAGCCCGTCCACAAAATCCATTGCGATGTCGGCCCAAATCTGAGTTGGAATAGGCAGCGGGTGAAGGAGACCAGCAGGGGAGAGAGTTTGAGACTTGTGACGTTGGCAAGTGTCACAATTTTGAATGAAACTGCGCACAGTGCTTCGCATCCCTTTCCAATAAAAAACCGAGCGAACTCGTTGGAGAGTTTTATGGAAACCTTCGTGGGTGGTGGTGTGGAATTCCTTGATGATTTGAGGGATGAGTTCAGAAGTATGAAGCAGGTAAATCCGATCTTTGAAAAATAGGACGCCGTTGGTATGCCGCCATGGACCCACGGCTTCACCATCATTGATCAACTTGATTAAGTGCTGTAGAGTAGGATCGGATGTAGTCTCCTCTTGGATGGGATGCAACCAGCTTGGAACCGGTTGTGAGAGAGCATACATATCACCATGATTTTGGCGAGAGAGAGCATCGGCAACTACATTATCAACTCCTTTTTTGTACTCAATGATGAAATCATACCCAATGAGTTTGGAGAGCCAACGTTGCTGCGCGTCAGTGGAAATGCGTTGATCCCATAGATACTTGAGGCTCTGTTGATCAGTTTTGATGATAAAGGAGCGGCCAAGAAGATAGGGTCGCCACTTTTTGATGGCGAGAACAATAGCGAGCATCTCTTTGTCATAAGTGGAGAGCTCCAAGTTGCGTCCATGTAAGGCCTGACTGAAAAAAGCAAGTGGCCTATTCTGCTGTTGTAAGACCGCACCAACTCCGGAACCACATGCATCACACTCGATCATGAATGGTTGAGAAAAATCGGGAAGAGCAAGCACTGGAGATGTGGTCATGGCGAGCTTCAGTTTTGCAAAAGCTTCCTCTGCAGTAGGTGTCCAAATAAAGTTATCCTTTTTGAGCATGTCGGTTAAGGGTCTGGCGATGCCACCGTAATTTTGAATGAATTTACGGTAGTACCCTGTAAGTCCCAAGAAACCCCGTAAAGATTTTAGAGTTGCGGGTTTCCGCCAACCTAGCATTGCTTGTATTTTTCCTTGGTCTACACTAACGCCCTCCTTGCTGATGATGTGGCCGAGATAGAGCACTTGTGATTGGCCAAAGGTACATTTTCCCCTTTTGACGAATAAGTGGTGAGCCCGCAAGGTAGTAAGTACCAAATCCAAGTGATGGACGTGGTCTTGCAAGGTACGGCTGTAGATCAAAATATCATCAAAAAATACCAATACAAATTTTCGCAAATAAGATTGGAATACCTCATTCATTAAAGATAGGAAAGTAGATGGAGCATTACTCAATCCGAATGGCATTACGAGAAATTCATAATGCCCTTGATGAGTACGAAATGCTATTTTTTGCACGTCTTCCTGGCGGACCCGGATCTGGTGATATCCTGACCGCAGATCGAGTTTGGTGAAAAATTGAGAACCGTGGAGCTCGTCCAGTAACTCATCGATCACGGGAATGGGAAATTTATCTTTGATTGTGATTTTGTTTAAGGCGCGATAATCAATGCACATGCGCCATGATCCATCGTGTTTCTTCACCAATATGACCGGGGAAGAGTACGAACTATTGCTGGCACGGATAATTCCTGTTGACAACATCTCTCTAATCAATTTTTCAATCTCATTTTTTTGGAAATGCGGGTATCGATACGGTCGAACATTAACTGGTGCACTACCCGGTAACAGAGGTATGCTGTGGTCTTGGCTTCTTTGTGGAGGTAGATCGATAGGTTTTTCAAAAACATCAGGGAATGCCTTCAAAAGAGACTGAATGCGTGGATCAGGAGTAGTGGACTGAGTGGTTGGCAGTGCTCCATTCATGGCATGCAATTGGAGGACCAGACATTCCTTACGCCGACGATACTCTCGGTGTATATTTGTCTCATTTACAAATTTAGGACTAGGATTAGATAGCCCCTGCAAGCATACCTTTTTTTCTCCTAGTTCGAACTGCATCTGGAGCTTTGAAAAATCCCACAAAATTGGGCCCAACGTCTGCAGCCATTGTGCACCCAAGACCAACTCATAACCCTCTAAGGGCAATAGGTAGAAGTCCACAGTGAGTGGGACTCCTTGAAGACTTATGGGCACCTCCTTGCATTTTCCGGCGCTAGACAACCTTTCGCTGCTCGCAACTTGGACCTTCAACCTTCCACACAAGTCGGGTTTTAAACCCACTCTTGTCACCAACTCTTCCTTGAGAAAATTGTGCGTGCTTCCGGAGTCCACGAGGACTGTGGCCGAATGGTTAAGAATCTTACCCAAGACCCGCATGGTTTGAGCAGCATGAATGCCAGACATGGCATGAAGAGAGATGGCTGGTGGGTCCTCATGGTGTTCGCTTTCATTTGGATGCTCGTTAGAGTGCTCGTCAGGTTCCACATCCACATCTTCATCAGGCCAGCAAGCCTCCATGATAAACAATTTCTTGCATACATGACGGGGTCCGTACTTGTCGTTACAATGGAAACACAACCCCTTCTGCTTGCGTTCCTCGATTTCTGTTGGTGAGAACCTCCGAATTTGCGGAATAGGGGACGTGGATATTGTGCTGCGTTCTTGGCCCTTATTGACAGACAAAGGTGGTTGATTCAAGTTGGATGGCCTCCGGTTGGCGGCCATGACCCTTGCTTCATAAAGCCTAGCAAGGCCGACGGCAGCAGATAGAGAGGAAGGCCGAGAGGCCTGTACCTCCACTCGAATGGACTCCTTAAGTCCACTGGTAAAGCACCCAATTTGCTGCTGTGGTGTAAGAGAACCTGCTCGGGTTAATAATCTTTCAAACTGAGTTTGATACTCACGAACACTTCCTCGTTGTTGTAGTTTGGTAAGATCGCCAAAAAAATCCTCAAACTGTGTAGGGCCGAAGCGAGCTTCGAGCTCGGCTTTAAGTGTGGTCCACGTATAACTTCGTTCCTCCTTCTTGGCAATTTGATACCAAAGTTGTGCATCGCCATCTAAATGGTATGCTGCGAGGGTCACTTGGTCGTTGGCTTGGATTTGTTGGAATTCAAAGAACTGTTCCGAACGGCAAATCCAACTCGTAGGGTCGTTGCTGCCATCATACCTAGGAAAGTCCAATTTGGTGAGTCGTGGCATAATCGAGCGGTTTTCGGAGGGCCTGTTCTGACCAAAAGAATGGCCAGTGGAAGCTTCACCTTGATCATCTTTTCTAGAGGCCGTAAGTTGGTCGAAGCGGGCATGTAAGGCCGCAAACATTTCTTGAATTTCGAGATGACCGCGTTCTTGGGAGGCAGAGAGGTTGCTGATTTCCGCCTCAAGGTGATTAATCCGATCGTCGGACAAACCTGGCTCTGATACCAAAATGTTACGATCACCTTCGTTGGCTCGCAACGCCTTAGAACTAATTCGAGTCTTTCGACCCGTTGTGGGCTTTGGTTACAGAAAAGAAAACAAAAAGAATTTAGAGAGAGAGAGGGAGCCTCGTTCGAGATAGGCTGGATCTCCAAGTTGACTAGTAATTAGCCTTTTCTGAATATATTTCCAAGCATCAAACAATACATGACTCAATGACTCTTTAAATAGATGTAGTTCCAGCAGATTTGTGATATGTGCATGATCCCATTTTCTAGGGACATGAACACTATACAACCCACGACAGACTCCACTAAACTAAAACAAAAACAGAACAACTAAAATAAAACAGAACAAAGATAATAATAATAATAATAATAAAGGACAGGTCATGGGACACGCCAATGCATGCACGTATCATGTTTCTCCATGAAGAACTACCTTCAAATAAATAAGTAACAATAATAATAGTAGCAAAAGCATTAACCATAAAAACAATTAAAAAGAAAAGAGAAGGAAGGAGTAAAATCCGGAGGAACTGAGTTACCAGTTTGTTTGATCATATTCTCATCAATCATGCAGTGGAAGTGATTCCAGCTATTCCACCTATAATTAAGACAGACAGAGAAAGTGAGAATGTTTGGTTTTTTAGGCCCCACTCCCACTAATATTTCTTAAAATATTTGTCCCTAAGAAGTTAGCACATAACATAATCTCATTGGATCATCTTTTTCTTTTCTTTTTTTGTAGATAACTGAGAAAGAACTGATCTTAGGCAGGAGCACTCCAAGTGTGCAAACATGGGATAACATAGTCTCATTCGGTCATCTAATACATAATTATTGGGTGGATGGACTTGTTGAACTGATCAGTTTTACCAAAAATTGTACAGTTTGGACTCTCTCCCTTGTCCTTTTACTAGCACAAAAGAAAGAAAGAAAGAAAGAAAGAAAGGTTTGAAATTTCAGTTCCAAATTCCATCCATATGATTGGATTTTGGATTTGTCAAAGAAAAGAAACAGGGGAAGGAAAAAGCTTTTTAAATTTTTTTGGTTGGTTAACGTTATGAAAATGAGTGAAAATATAATGTTAGGTCTTGTAAAGCATCGTGAATTTGTAAGTCTAGTTCGTTGTTAGAGTGTGCTGCTGCTCTTTTGTAAGCTGATAAAATGTTAGTTATGTTACTAGCACATTAAAAAAGATAGAGCGAATTATACTAAAGGTCCTATAGTTTAAGGTTTATGTCACTTTGGTTTTTGACTTTTCAATTGTAACACATTTGATCTTTAATTTTGAATCTTGTTTTAAATAAGAACAATTGAATATACTATTACTCAATTTTACGGGTAAAGTCGTTAATTTGATAAAATATAAACTAATTTAACAAAAATAAATGCCAAAAAATATTTTTAATTTTTTAAAATTATTTCTACCCAACAATGATAAATTATGTAAAATTGATAAATCTTTTACACATTTATTTATTTATTTTTACCAAATTAATTTTTATTACATGTTTGAATGATGATCATGTAATGGGTGATTATTGTTATTTTCATTAAATTGGTTTCTATTTTTTCAAAAGTCAAACATTTAATATATTCAATATATCGATTACACATTAAAGCCTAGCAATCACCCATTACATGATCATCATCTAAATACATATTAAAAATTCAAAAATATTTTATTTACATTTATTTTTGTCAAATTAGTTTATATTTTATCAAATTGACAACTTTGCCCTTAAAATTGAGCAATGGTATTTTCAATTGTCATTATTTAGAATAAGATTCAAAATTCAGGATCAAATGTGTCACAATTGAAAAGTTAGGAATCAAAGTGATACAAGTCTCAAACTATGAGAATTATTAGTGTAATTTGCCCCAAACGGTATGGAGGATGTAGCCCTTGCATTCGGTGCACATTATAAGGTGCGCACTGCACAGTATTAACATTAACAACCCCTAAACTGGCTGGCATTGAAATTTATGTGCAAGTAATATTTTCATTTTGTGTAATGGATAGATCGTGATAATGGTGTTGCCTATAACCTACAAAGGTGGAGCTTACATACACGTGAGATAAAATAATATAGAAAATGGTATTCATAAATAAAACTTATATAAAAAAAACATGGTAACAAAACAATGATGTGGGAATGTCATTTTGTAAGTGTTTTATTTTAAAATGAATGATCTACATTGAGCTGCATCATTATATTATAAAAACAACAATGATTCATCCCCTCTTTTCCCTCCACCCCTTGACCCCCTCTCTCTCCCATTGGTTACATTTTCTTTTTCTTTTTCTTTTTTTTCCTGCTCCTCCAATCACCACCCGCCATGTGACAAAGGGGGGTGAGGGAGTGACCCCAAAAGGGAGTCCCAAGCATTATCCTTATAAAAATTCTATATAAATAAAATTTGGTTATGGTTTGTATATCATTATTCAAATAATATAGCACCACCGTAGACTAACTACACAAAATACTTTGTCCTCTCCAATCAAAAGGATTCTCCATTCAAAGGATGTAAGTAGTCAACAATTAATTAATGGATAAGGTGGGTGAACCAAGAAAAAGGCAATTAGAAAAGGATAAGACAGAAACAAGTTCCACAATACTTCGAGACCTGCTGTCGTATCTATCTATCTTTTTCTTTTTCTTTTTCTTTCTGTATTTTTCTTTTTTTGGATAGATAGGGCTTTGAAAATAATGAAACTGTGAAATGAGAAATAAGAAGAAAAACAGATTCTTCAGTTTCGACGGTCTAAATAGAAAATACCGATGGAAATTAAATAATTGATGCAATTTTTTTGAAGATTGTAATCGGATTTCAAAGAAATAATCAGTCAGTCAGTAATAAATTGAAGAAAATTCACAAAATGAACAATTCTGATTTTTATACTCTCCTCCTCACTATATATATATATATATCCAGTAGTGAGATCAGCATCAACCTATCTCACACAAACACACACACACATATCTAAATTTATGAAGAGAAAGAGAGAGAGAGAAAGAGTACCGACCCCATAGGAGGAGTAATGGCAAGGCGATTAGCGAGAAGATTGCGGTGGTTGTCGTTGGGAGTGAGAGAGAGGGAGGAAGAAGAAACACAGACATCATCAAGTATTGGCATTAGCAGCAGCAGCACCACTGGCACTAGTACTAGTATACCCAAATTGGGCACATCACTCTTCATTATTATTATTACTACTCAAACTCCTTTCTAGAATATGGAAAACACCTTTCACTCCTTCCTCTTCCAACTCTACTCTTCACTCTCTGCATCACTCACGTGTGCTTGTGCCTATATATACATGAAAGGGGAGAATATAAAATAAGTCGGATCAAGCATTGGGCTGTCCAATCTGCTAAACCAAAACTCACGTGGGTTAGGCAAATGTGTGGGCCAGTCAATTAGGCAAATGTGTGGGTTACGCAAATGTGTGGGTCAGTCATTGGGCAGGTCCTCTGTTGCTGGATAGTCCATTTAGTCGTGGAGCACTGGTCCACTATCATCTAGTGTGGGATTTGGTATTCACAATATAGATATAGATATAGATGTAGTGAACTGCGAATGAGCTGAACCGAGCCGAGCCGAGCTAGCTTTTGACTTGAGCGTTCAAGACTTATTTATTATGAATCGGCCGAGTTTCCAGATTAAATATTTGACAAACTCAAGTTTGACTTGAGCCAATTATTATATAGAGAAGCGAATTGAAACTTTATAAAAATTAAATTAAAATTAATTTATATATAAGATAAAAATAAAAGATTATGAGTTGAATATACAAAAATAATTATATTAATAATAAATTTTATGAATCAAGTAAGTAAATTTACACAAATATCAAATATAAATAAAATAAATTAATAATTTTTTTGATATATTATTAAAAATAAATATTAATTTATTTTCTTTACGTTCACAAGCTTTATCGAGTTGAACTTAGTGTTATTCGAGCTCGACTTAATTAATAAACGAGTTGAACTCAAACAAATTTTAAATGAATCAAGCTTTATTGAGATGGCTTTAGAATTATTCAATCTCGCCTCGATTAATAAACGAGTCAAACTCAAATGAGTTGAGCGCAAATTGTCCCTAAGTGACAAGTGAGAAGCTTTTTAACGAGATATCTTTTTTTGAAAAGAAAAACAAGAAGCCTCTAAAAGATCAAACAAATAATCAAATAAGAAATTACAAATAAAATAAATAAATTTGTCAAAAAATCAATTACGAGTCAACAAAATTTACCAATCTTCTCATAAATATAATTTGAAAAGTTAAATCTGTATGAAACCAAGCAAAATCTACAAATTACGTGTTGCTCTCTTCTTTAATTTAGTGCTGTTTTGGAAAGTTGATAAAAAACTGTTTTTTTTTTTGACTTTTTTGGTAGTTTTTTTGGCTAAAAAAATTGACTTTTTTTGGACTAAAAAAGCTAAAAAACTAACTTTTTACCAAATTGCCCCTAAAGAGAAATGCACTAACTAATCCTACTATGGAATCCGTGGATGGATGGGATAGACACATCACTGCCATAATTGTTTCTACTTTCTTCCTCTAGCATTCCCTTTTTTCTTTTTCTTTTTTTACGCCTTCTCTAATCTATATGTTTTTAGAGAAATTAATTTAACAGTGGAAAAAAAAAATTACTATCTCCATTTTAAAATAATAATTTTTTTTAAGGAATTTAATTTTTTTAGTAGTACAATTATTATACTTTAAAAATATTAAAATTTTAAAATTACCTTTTGATACATTTTCTAAAAATATCAATTGTTATAATTATACTTTTTGTGTTGTTAATGAATTTAAGGGAAGGACAAAATAAGAAATTTTTATTATTTTAGTCCTTAGTTTTTGAAAAATTTATAATATTTTGGGATAATAAAAAATGGAATAAATGACTAATATTTTGAGACGGAAGAAGTACCAAAATATGAGTGTGTGATTTTGTAATTACACCTCTCCATGTTTGTATAGTTTCTTTTTTTCAGTCCAACTGATGAATAATTTCCTCTATATTTTTTTTTTAGGATAAATTACAAATATATTTCCTGAGATTTAATTAAAATATGAATCATTACTTGTGATTTTGGAAATTACATTCAACCCTTGAGGTTTCTAATTTTATAACAAATTACCCATTTTATTAATAAACCATCAAGTCAATTAATAATTTTTAATGATGTTATAAATATGTTTCAATTAATAATTTAGGTAATTTTATTATTATATAGGAGAGCAATTATGAATTTTATTTTTTTTAGTTAATTCTATTAAATAAAAAATTCTGATAAGGGGATATTTGTAATTTTTCAAATCACAGGAGACAATCTATATTTTAAATAAATTTCAAGGGGTGTATTTATAATTTACCCTTTTTTTTAAAGCGGTATGTTGATTGGTCATTGTTTATAAAATAAAAAACGTTATAGTAAAAAAATTATAATTAATTTAAATATTATACACTATTCCATCTGTCTTAAAATGTTTGTCCACTTTTACATCTTAATTTTTTTTTAAATTTTTTTTTCAATAATTTTAAAAAGTTGTTCACGTTGATATGATACTACATAACTGACTAAAATGAGTGGCTGAACTTCTGAAATACGGGATTGAACTCAAAGATCTGATCTTGTCCCACTAGAAGTACAAATCCTCAAGCGAAACTGGAGGCTGAGATGAAATTTAACCTAACCTCATTGTTTAATCCAAAAAATTGAGCTAAACAATAAAAAAACCTAATTGATGATATGTGAATGTTTCATTCAAAATTAATAAAACACATAACATAACAGGAATTTTTAAAGCTTGGCAGAGTATTGATTAATAAGAATAAACGGACAATATTTTTCTTTTATAAATAGGTCCTAAGTTTTTGTTCAAATTATATTGCGTTTCATGTGGGTCTAAACACCCACGTCCACTTTTTGGTTAAGATTACCATGTGTAAACTTGTGGGTAATTATTCCAAAAAATTAAGTATGAACTGACTATTCAAATAATCCATATTGAGCTAGATGTGATCAAATTTCTTAAGAAACAGCAAAACAATATCAAAGTTGAGAAGCACAATAATAGCTGAAGAGTAAGAGAGATAAGAGAAGAATAATATGTACCTGAGTGCCAATATACTTAGCTCTTCGAAGGCATACACAGTAAAGCTGCACCCAATAACAGACCCCCCAAAAACAAAAACAAAAACAAAAAATTGCCTCAGCAATTGGGAAATACCCAATTCAACTATAAAAAAGAAATAAAAAAATTGTGACTTGAAATAGAAAATACCAACTCTAATCACATTGTTGGCGAGTTCAGGAGGCAATGCTGTTTGAAGAGACGGCATGTTCGATTTTGAACCTAATCCCAATTCAACATCAACAAAAACACATACAAAAACAGATGGGGTTTTGCAGATTAACAAACAGCCAACTAGTAATAGTACTAGTCATTTGATTTGTATGAAATGAAGACCGACCTACCTGAAGCTGTTCTGTTCAGTCTCTCACCAAGATAGAGAGAGACAGACAGACAGACACACAGACAGACAGACAGACAGACAGACGTGTTGTTTTGTGTTGTGTTGTTGTGAGCTTCGCAACAGGACAGATTTTAGAACAAGTACCCCTCTGTCTCAAAAAAAAAAAAAAATTTAGTCTTGGAGGTTTAGATTTCTCGATGTTTTATAAGTTTGTTCGTGTTTTGCAGCGTGTAAGGAGTGCAATGGAGAGAAACATATGACTTTTTTGCTTTTCGTTTGTTCGTGTTTTGCAGCGTGTAAGGAGTGCAATGGAGAGAAACATATGACTTTTTTGCTTTTCGGTATCTCAATTTGTTGATGATTGTAGAGAACTTTCATTCCAGAACTTTAAGAGTATGAACATTTTGTTTTAATTTTTCCTATTTATAGCGCACTGATCACAACCAATTTCCTGGTGATCGAGCTTGTTGATTAAAATCTCCAATTGTATTGTTGTTTGATTCATTTGCTTATATGAAGCCATTTTCTTGAAATTGACCACTAACGTGTTGAGGTGTGATGATAATGGTGTGCCTGAAGAAAGTATTACTAAGAGTCAGCAAGTTGGTGAGGTTTGAACAATCCGCCTTTTTTTTTGAAAAAAAAAAAAAAAAAAAGATTAATGAATTAGCAATCAGTTTTATTTTTGTTTATGTTTTTGCTTTTGTTTCTGGGATACATTAACTGAATCACCGTGCTACGATTTTTATTGGGTTATTGTTAGGAACAGAAAAACCGGTTACAGTCTTGTCAGGGCTGTGTTAGATTAATGCTAGGAAAACAGAAAGCTGACACAAAACACTCCCAGGGCTACAATTCTTAAACATAGAAGATCATAGGATTGATTACAGAATAGTCATGGAGCTGTGGGGCTCATGATCTTGTGTCTGAAGCCTGGTTCAATTGTTCTTGTTGTGGGTCACCCGCATCTTAAGACCATCAGAGGCCCATTATGTGACTACTACTCTTATTGGTTTGGGAGCAACCATGGGTGAAGCCAACCTGCTCCATCCGTACACTTCTGCACAACGACTTACTATTCCTCTTGTGGGGATATATTTTCTAAGTACCAACACGTGGCAAGGTGACACCGACGTATCAGCCGAGGTGTCACGTATCTTGGTCGTTGTGTCGAGGTCATCTCAGCTAGACCGAGGTTATCTCCGAAGATATCGGAATCCGAGATAAGCGGATAAGGGACAGGAGTCCTAGGACAAAGAGCGGACTTAGCAGAGATAAGGATAAATCTCTTAGGGAGTTTATCTTTATCTCTTGAGAAATCCTAAGTAAGCACTGAATTGAAGTCTATAGAAGTCATGCTTCTAGTAGGACTTGGATTGAGTTAACTATAAAAGAGAGGCACCCCCATGAGTCTAAGGTACGTAGTTTTATACTCAAGCTTGTGAGTTTAGCACTTGATTATGTTTGAGAGATATACTGACTTGATCGTCGGAGTGCCCCCGGGTGGAAGAGCCACCGCCGGAGCCCTTTCTTTCTGTTACAGGTTACTGGAGCCATCTATTCTGCCGGTGCTCTCCAGCTGATTACTAGGCGGGCAGTGTGGTAAGAAAATTACCCACACAATTTGGCGCCGTCTGTGGGAATCTTAGAAGAATAGATGGCCAGTGACGGACAAGGGGAAAACATTGGGGGCGAAACTCCTGCTGGGAGTGGTGGACCAATCGACCTTGACGTTGAAGAAGACAACCACAGTACAGAAAATCATGACCAGGGCCACGGAGAAAAAGACGTCGGCCAGGAGGGCGACGCTTCAAAAAGGAC